TTAGACATTCCGTACCCTGTGTAACATGGGATCAAATAGGATATACGACTTTGTAGCTTATTATTCATATCCATTCTTGGTGCCCGGCTTGGCACCTAGTATTCCTCCCGATATTGGCAGCCAGAACGAATTAGATCGAAATGAATATATTCAAACGGCAACTCTTCTACGCTACGTCCAGACTTCTCTATATATCATACAGACCGGCCCAATCAACCCTAACCCAATCAACTCGTACCCATAGCCGCCAGCGCAGTGACACCTACTTACAATTGGACATGACACAGCTGAGATGGCACGCGCAATACTGAAGATATGTGCATATATGCACTCACCATGTCGGTAATCGAGTTCTGCTTGAACAGGATTAGCAGTGCACTGTAATGTTGAATCTGGATACTCACAGTCTTGATCGATGATGATCGATGAATGTGGGACAACCTGCTAGATGTCATCAGACTTATACTACTTCACACGCAACACTAGAGACGTACTATTGCCCTAATCAACATATGCCCGTATGAGAGAACAACTGCATATTGACACATCAGCTGTCATCCGAGAGTCAATGGTCAGTACGTACCACTTAAGGGGGAGATAGGCATACAGAGGGGATGCAAGAAGTACGAAGTCAAGATGTGAATAGATACAATGGCAGGTCGATATCGGACCATGCGACGACGTCATCGCGGTCGGATAAGTGATTTTGGGCAGGCAAGTCCCCCTTGCAATTGAAATCTGCAGCAGCGGTTGGGGATGTTGAGGGAATCTGGAGAGGATGTGCATGTTCCCAGCAGATTCCCATCAAGGGGGAATTTACTGGGGAATCCGTGGGTAATATGCGTGGAATACGCAAATTCCCTGCATGTTCCCTGCCACCGTAATCTGGCGCTTCACGCGGTGCATGTACCACACGAGAGCAATGCACAAATGATCCCTCTGTTGAGCATGATCGGCTAGTAACTCTGTAACGGATCGTTCATTATCTTATCTTATCTACGTAGTTAATCTACATCTTGTATCTACATCTGGATCGTCATGGTGATCGGCGCTGATCCATCTGGATCCGCGCGACGTGGCGAAGGCTTCTCAGCCTTTCACCACGTCCACCATAGTATACGCCCTCTCAATCTAGAGATTGGTTCAGTGTACTTTGGACTTGTGTGAATCAGGCAACACCCGTAAACATTACAAACTCCGCCCTTTGCTGCACGGAGAGGAGCAGAAGCGACTTGCTGAAAGCATTGCATCAGCTTCGTGTTGGAGACGGACCCCTAGAACAACGAGCCCGGGCCGACTCGAGAGCCCCCTTACCACATAGCCTTGTGCCCGCTTCTGCTCGTGATACGCAGCTCCTTAACCTCCCACGCCGCAGTTTCCGGAAAGCTTGTAGCTTCCCTCCCTCGCGCCTGCACAGACAGCAAGCCTGCTGGTCAAAGGATTCTTCCGATGTAGCACCGTCCACTGGGTTGATTGCCACGGTAATAAGTGGAGCTGCTCTACTGCATACTAGCGTTCACATACTGGGCGACTCTGATGTGCCTGGTCTCGAGAGGCGATGGTGGAGATCGAGAAAGGGCAAGACAAGGCGAATCAATGGAGTGGCAAGGCGGACGATGTGTAGAAGACTCAAAATCTCGCAATCGCGGCTAGGCTCACGAGCATAATCCCTGATAATCCCAGTCATACGACCTCAATTCCTCGGGCCTTGGGGGTGGACACAAGCGACGACGGAGACCGAAACACAGTCGCACAGTCAAGGATGCGGATACCACTTCCTATTGCCACGAAGGGTAATACACTGGTAAGAATTGAAAGTCCACAAGTGTTCCGTCGGCACGAGTCCCGTGGCGAAACACGTCCACTCCGCCCAAAGCCAACCGACAACTGCGAACCCTCTCCTCGGCCCAGCTCAAGCTTACTTGCAGTTCGCGACAACACCCTGCCCCGCAAGCGCCGCGTTCGCGAGCTGGGTCGTGGCCTTGTCGAGGTTAGCCGAAATCGTAGAGTCCGTCCTGCAGATCAGATGCGGATTAGCGCGGCAGTCCTCCCAGACACGCCCGAGAGCGAGGAAACGCACGAGTTTATCGCAGCGAGCGCAGTCTGCGCGGCGGTCAGGTTGGCCTGCACTTGCGTCCGCGCATCCGCAGGCGCGGCCTGCCCGGTCAGGAGCGCCTTGGCGATGACGCCGATGGCGCCTTCTGCGCCCGACACCGCGTCGGTGACCGTCTGGAGACCAGCGGCAGCGGTGGTGTCGCTGTTGGATATGGATGTAATCAATATCAGTGTGGGCGGGTACGGCTGGCGAGGCGAGACGCACTTGGTGACCTGGCCGGAGAGCTTCTTGAGGGTGCCTTGAAGGGTTGCGAGGCCCGCGACGATGCTCAGGCGGTCGAAGTTGCAGGTCAGATCACCGACTTGGCGCGCGACGATCTCGCGGGTGGGGGCTGGGAAGGACGAGAGATGTTGGGTGAGCCTTTGTTTCACTCGGCACCAAGCCTGTCATTCGAATGGCTTACCAGCGTAAATCTGCGAGCTCGCGAAGAGCGAGAGGAAGGCGAAGAGGAGAACAACGACGCGAGACATCATCTTGACAAGTAGGCGTATTGAATGGTAGAAGGGGAAGTCGTGAGGAGTTGGACGTGACAAGGACTTGCACTGCAAGGAGAGACAGAACACAAGGAGGACAGCACCAGGCCGCGAATGAAGGAGAAGGAGATGATGCGTAACGAAGTCGGGGAGGGACGAGGATTAAAGTCATGTTCCATATCCCTTAAAAGTACTTTGGATGGCTCAGTGGATGCGCAGGCAAGATGAGCAATTCTGACCACATTCGTCATGGAGACCCTCGCGCTGGTGGCAGCACAAGATCAGAATCGACAGCCAACGGTACAGCCGATCTCAGCAACTCCCTCGCGGTAGGTGCTGCGCTGGACTTGATAATCCATGAGGATCACCTCAGTTGGCCTCATTAAGCGAGAGAGATATTCCACTGATGGATTTCAACCTCGTGCTGCCCGTTGGAGAAGTCGCCACTTGCGCACTCGCCTTAACGATGGTTGCGTACGCACCTAGTATCAGCCAAGGCGATGCTCGAGGTGCGCACGGCACGTCAGCACGGTCACATGTAGCGGTTGCAACTCACAAAGTGTATCCCGTCTGTAAGTAAGTAGGCTCCTTGCCTACGCACGCTCTGAACTGAGTGGCCATTTAGTGGAGCGAGGCCCGTACTTGGCCTGCTTTCGTGGACTGTACGCAGCCTGTATTACTAGCGCCGTATCACGTGCTAGCTGTCAATTCTTGACACCGGCGTCCCCGTCCGACTCGACTCCTTTTGGACGTCAGCTCGGGAGCCCGTACGCAGTCTCGACCAAGACCGTCGGCGAGGGGTTTGTGCCGGACCACGAATTTCCACCTTCACCAGCCTCTGCTACGCTGTAGATGATCTCTGTATCGTTGGTACTCGAGGTCGTTGTCCTTCCACTCCGTCGTCGACGTCTATGTAGGGCTCACAGCTTGGTTCTCTCATCTTACGTCTGTCGGCATCTCGTACCGCCATGATGACTCTATGCGCGACGAAATCGCTCAACAGCTCGGATCGTGCCCCGTCTTGCGTGCGCATGGAGTGAGATCTGCCGGGGCCGCGGGACAATCTCAAGTCATGCTGGACTACATGGACACGGCCATAACCTCTACCTCCCACTTCGCTTGCTATCCCAAGAGACCTCCTTGGTGCCATTTTGGGCTAGAACTCGGCAACTCCTGCTACCTATTACCGAACCCTTCTGCAGATGTCGACCCTCCCTACCGACTTAATGTCAAGCATGACGGCTGGTTCTGAAGTTGTAGAACATCCACGGGCAGAGTGGCCTTCCCGCACACCTTCTACACGGCCGGCTCTGGACAGTTGGATCGCAGCTCATAGCGTGAAGCCCATACAACCGTGACCGTACATTGGATCTAAGACGCACAGTAGTATTGATCAGACGTTTCGCGAACGTTTTTCAAGTCCGATATACGCCGTCCCCCCTCCTACAGGTATTAAGGGACGCGTTTTCGTGGCGAAGTCCTCACCAAACATTCACATCTCATCATATCTCCAAGCATCACACATATACAATTGTCTTACAACAAGCAGACCACCTTCTTCGCCGACGCCGTTCTCTTTGTATGGTATCTTCCTTCCTTTCTGCTCCTCATGGATTTGTACTTACTCACCTTTGCCATAGGACGGGACCCTCACCGACTCCATCGCCGCCGTAGAGGCTGCATGGGGCAAGGTTGCCAACAACCTCGGGCAGGACCCGGTCTACGTCATCGCTGCCACCCACGGCAAGCGCGCCGTGGACAACCTCGCCCAGTTCAAGTCGCACATCAAGGTGCACGAGATGGACGCCAAGGTCCAGGCGTTCGAGGAGTCGATCCTCTTCTTCGCGGAAGCGTTCACCAAGCACGGACCCGGCTCCCGCGAGGTTTCACCACTTTTTTCTAGAGCCGCGACCCCTTCCCTCGCGTCCTCGTCCTCGTCTTCGGGCACCAGCTCGTCGGGCTCCAGGGTCGCGTCGCCGCGTTCGTGCTCGCCCTCCCCTGCGGGCTACACCGACCTCCCGTCCCTTGTCCGTTGCGTCACCAACCGCCTTGCGCTCATCACGGCTGAGGGCGCGACGTACGAGGATGAGGAGATCACGGGGATCCCGGAGCCCATGATCGATTGGAGGATGGGGGCTCTAGCGGAAGCACATATTCGAGGCGTGGCAGGTCGAGACCGCCGCCGTTGACCGCTCGGCGCGTATCCTCCCCGGCGTGAAGACGCTCATGGACACGATCCCTGAGGCCTGAGGGTCGATACGCCATTGCCACCTCGGGCGCAAAGACCAACGGTAAGCCCTCCCGCCCCATCGCAATGTTCCATCCGCGAAACGCTGTTGACACACCGCCCCTCACCTTCGCCGCGGCGTACGGCTGCATGACGCGCGTCGGCATCACCCCGCCCAAGGTGACCGTCACCGCGGACGACAAGCGTCTCAAGGCCGGGAAGCCCGCGCCCGACCCGTTCCTCCTCGCTGCGCAGGAGCTCGGGTGCGACACGGCGCGTGTGTCGTCTTCGACGACTCGCCGTCCGGCATCCGCGCTGGGGTCGCTTCTGGGGCGACGTTCATCGCCGTGTGCAAGAGCCACGAGCGGTCGCAGATCGAGGACTGCGGCACGCACTTCGTCGTGGACACGATCGAGCAGGTGCGCGTCGTTGGTGGTCGGGATGGGGGGCTGAAGTTTTTCGTGCCGGTGAAGAAGCAGTAGAGGGGGTTCCGGGCTAGGTGAACGAAAACTTCCCGCGCCCTGGAGGCGTGTGGCCCATAATAATCTCCTGATGCGCTTGGGTTCTCTACGACTATCGAGGAATATACCAAAATCCTTCAAACACTCTGAGCGCTCTGATTGTTATCTTCAACATACATAGTCTGCTCCCGCGCCCTTGGTCTCGACTTGCGAATCATTTCAGAGCATAAAGCACGTCTTTCGGCGCTAGCGATAGAGGCTGCGTACGGGCTCGGAATTCAGGCTACCTCGCTATAGGAAATCGCCCCTCAGCTCGAAGAATGCGGTAGCAAGGAGCTTGACAAGATGCCGCTGAGTCTCCCCCTGCACGAGATCATTTCTGCCAAGGTCGGAGGATGGCATGGTGATCGACGTGAGAAGGCTAGCGACGCCCTGATAAGAAACTGACAATACGACATTGCTTCTCCCATTCATACGAGAGCACGGGGCCGGTCTCATATGAGCTATAGCAGCGCTCAGACATGATAGATTGGTAGACTCCGGCGTTCGCTCACGCTCTGCTTCGTCTTCGCGAGACAGACGGCAGATGGACTATTCAATTCAACCGTGAAAGGCTTCTCCACCGACATCCCCGAAATTTCGGACAGCCTCAGAAATCGGAGAGCAACAGACAACCAGGATGGGAGCAATTCTCCAATCGAAATGCGAGGCGCAGCTTTGATGGCGTCGCAATAGGTTCCTTCCATATATAGGCATACCTCTCGGTGTCGCCGAAGCACCGCATTCGAGGACCGTGAGACTCTGACGAGATAAGTAGTCAATCTCTGCTCTCAACGGCCGATCGATGCTTGTACTTTGGCATGCCATAACTTGAACAAGGTCATGATGCAATACGTTTGTGAGCTCATCACTTCTATGACCATGAGCATAGGTCATCTAACCGTTGGAATGCAGATGCTAGCTGGCAAACTCTACGGACTCGGAGTAGCCACGTCCACGACTCCATTCCTGGTGCAGCCTTCAGACTAACCCTCAGGCTTGGCAACGTGAACGTTGCTGTAACGCTGGCATACACGAAAGCCGGACATCGGAACTTGGTAACTTCTGTCTCGTTCCCGTGGCGTGCGTTCGCCGAGTCCCCCACTGGCAGCTAGTATCCGATATGAACCACGGGTATGCAATTTATGGGACTGTCCGGGTATGTATGAAACTGAATCCAGAGCTATCAGTCGACCTAGGTCACATAGACTAGCGGAGGCATGGGCCCTTCGTGTTCCAGCTCCCTGACGGTAACCGTGATAGTACGGCAGCTGTCAAACCTTGCGGGGTTCATGGATCTGTCGGGCCGTGACGTCCCCAGACTATTCCTCTACTTCGATGCCACCGGGGACGTCCATGAACCTGTGCCCGTAGGAAAGAGAGCCACGGTTTGTCCAATATTCTTGATCCTCTACTGCGTTATACTTACCGTGGTTCCATTCCCGCAGGCTTCCTCATGTCTGGAAGGCATGTTCCGATGGAAACGCTATGTCTGTCCGTCGACGACAGTATTTGGAGCCAAATTCCTTGGTAGACGTCTCTCGAGACTGCTAGGTATAAGAGAGCAGGCGTTGCAGGCCGGAAAACCCCATCCCTCCATCTACATTCGTCTCTCGCCTTCTTCTCCAGCCCGGTGCTGCGAAACACTAGTCCCCTTCATCGTTGCTGTGCAGCCGTAGTCCTCCTGAATCCTTCTCTTTTGTCATTATACATAGCTCAAGTTCAGCACTTTCCACCATGATGTCCCGCGCCATCGTCTTCCTCTTCGCCTTCCTCGGTCTCTTCGCGAGCTCCTTGGTCCATGCAGGTGAGCTGTCCAACAACGACCCCCCACACCACGCTCATCCCTCTTGACGTTTTGCCCTCAGCGCCGGTGAAGGAGCTCTCGGCCCGCCAGATCGGCGACCTGCAGTGCAACGCCGACCGCCTCACCATCGTCGGCGCTCTCGCCACAATGCAGGGCACCCTCTCGGAACTCGCGAGCTCGGCCTCCAGGTGAGCCGTCATCCGCCACCCATCCCAGCCGAGGACTGACGTCGACGCGCGTGCTCTACTCATCACAGCGACCCCGCCACCGCTGCGGGCGTCCAGAGCGTCCAGAGCGACGTCACTGACGCGCAGCAGGCGATCGGGACCATCGCCAAGGCGCTGTTCACCGGACAGACCGCGCCCGCGTCGGCGCGCGACCAGGTCAAGTCTGCGCTGCTCTCGGCGAACAGCACCCTCTCCGGCCTTACGTCGTGAGTATCTGCGGTCTTGGTTGTTGTGCTGCGTCGCCTGCGCCTATGCCAGGATATTGTATACGGATGCACTGACGGTAGCGTGGCACCCTTTGGTACTTATGAATAGAACCGACGCGACCGTCAGTTCCTTGCTGCAGAAGGCTACTTCGGAGTTGAAGGTCGCGGGGGCCGCTGGAGAGGGTGTTGTCGCCAACTGCAACTAAGTTGCGGGGTTAGTCGAGCGAGGGGATTGGCTTTGCTAGGGACTATGAGTAGGAGCTCTGTGCTTGTTGGACATGGGGACGATTAGGGATGTCATGTCATCGTGCGTACGCGAATGATCGGAGTGTTTCATATTCGGAGAACTGCGATATCGCTGAACTCAACGGTGAGGATGTCTGATCAATTAGGTGTACAAATTCGAGACGCAGCACACTCCTCGTCTCTGTCTTAGATGCAGAAAGCAGACTGCTTCCTACTACGCCGACGCTGTCCCACACGCATAGAGCGTGTCTTTGTTCTATACGAGCATAGAAACCTGTAAGGAGGACAAATGAGAACATAGCATTCATTCGGTCTGGGAACTACCGCCTCTCTGCGCTTTGACCTGGGTCTAGAGCGTCGATTAGCGCCGACCTCGCATATCGCAGTGGCTCAACGCAAGACTACTAGTTCAGGCCCGCGCCTTTCGGGAGCCCCCATAGTTCATCTGCTTGCATGTTGCATTCGCCACATCCCCGCACTGGGTAAGACTGTGATGAGGACTCTCGACGCACTCACAGTCTCGCAGTCTCGCCCTTGGACTCAGACCACTCCAACGGTATATCATTGCAAGCCGACACGATAACCTCAGCCATGCATTTCGCCGGCGAAGTGCTCCGGTGGCACATCTCCATGGCACCTCCTTTGTACAGGGAAACGGAAGGTAAGTTCCAGAACGCCTGTGAGTCAGATCATGACAGCCAAGGTGAGAGAGAGATCATACGTTCCCAGTGGGGAAGGGGGCTCGTTTCAAGCCGCCCTTCTCGTATCGAAGCTCTCTGCTGGGTTATCCGATGTCCTCTTCGACTTTTCAAATCAAACATGGGGCGGCAAGGGACGATCTCGCGCACTCCCTAGATAGTGCGTGACGTCGCCTCTCGCCACACATGACTGAAGATGGTGTATGATGTTCCTGCCGTGCACTCAGTGCCGCTCACCATGCGGAGATCATGCAGCACTTTGGAGTTGTTCCAATCCAAGTTCCCACAGATGATCGTCCGCTATGCAAGTCCAAGGCTGTCCGCTATTATTCGACCGATGCAGAAGAACGTCGGAAAGTGAGTTATCGGCTCACCATCAATGAACATCGACGCGTCCCTGGCTTATGCCCATGGCAACCTTCTCTGTGCCATCGCGCGGAGCCGCTGGGCTTGAAAACAGTGGAGGGGTTTGCAGCACAAAGGTCTTGCGTTGTTTTCTGGGCCGGCGGTCAAAGGAGCGATTCGGGCAGGGCATGGGTGTGGGCGACTGTTTGGGCGTGTTTGTTGCGGTAGGCCCGCCTTTGGCCGGAGGAGGACAGTTGCTGAGAAAGGCATCTTGCAATCCGCCTGCGCTAGAAACTCGTCTTGGTCTTGCTTTATCCGCCCCTCCAAACCTCAGCCCAACAATCCACTCATAAGTCCCTCGCCATGCTCTCCGTTTGGTATAAATCCTGGACCAGCCTCCTGTGGCCGTCTCTACACCCCCTCGCCCTCGCAGCTCTTGCGACACCCATTCTTGCCCCAGGCTCGCTCCCTGCGCCTCTCAGCCGTCCCCAGAATGGTCAGGTACCATCCTAGCATCTGGAAGCGTCGTTCCCATGAAGCGCCTGGGAAGGTCGACAGGACCTGGCTGCCTCGTATCATCTTCCAATCCGCGAAGCGGTGCGCGCGTAAGGCCGTCCCTACAGCCGTCCTTTCCCGACTGGGCTCGCACATGGGCGAGGATGCGCTCTCTCTGCATCCCTATCCCCATCAGAAGCCTATTGAGCCGCTCCCTCCAACGCCTTTGGTACACCCCAAGCGCTGGCGGAGTCTCCCGAAGTCATTCGTAAAGCCTGAGATGCCCAAGATCGACCCCGCGCGGATCGCCATCGCGCAGCCGGGCTACGCAGGGGTCCCCCCCGCAGACGTCAGGGATGGCTGGTACTTCATGGGATACAAGTGAGCTTGTCGTCCGCGTCGTCGCGCCGCACCCGATTCACCGTGCACAACCCACAGGCCTTTAGGGCTCTACCAGAAGCTGTACGTGGACCCGCCGAAGCCTGCGCTCAACGGCCTGGGGATGTACAACGTCCTCATGAAGGACCTCGGGCTCGTGTCCAGTGCCACCCACGTCTTTGGTGTGTATCTCCGAATGCCGGGCTGGCTGGTCAGAGACCCCGTCTGGCGCCAAGTGAGGACTGGCTTCAGGTGCCGGCGACCGGTCCTGCTCTACCCCACGCACTCCGCGATCTGGGCCGCACACTGCTCGCGCCTGCCCCCGATGCCCCCCGCAGAGACCAGGCCCTTGAAGAGCTTCCGGCGGGCGACGGACACGACGCAGCCGGCGTGGTGCCTGCGCTTGCCGATAGTGCAGGTCCCGCTGCCGTACCCGCCCAAGTTCTTCGTGCTCATGATGTTCGTGTACACGCACCTCAAGTGTGTGTTCATCGCGCACTTGCTGCCGTGCGCGGCGAACTCGAAGCCCATGCCCGAGGACGGGAAGGTGGGCGACGAGTGTTACTGGACGATGGTCCACAACATCGCGGCGGAATACAAGGACATGCCTACCGTCTTACGGCTTGCGAAGAACGTGTTCGGGACTTACCAGAACATGTGTGCGCTCGGGATGGTCGACGACAAGGCATGGGAGGCGTTGAATATCGCGTGGCGGATGGTGTTAGATGTGATGGAGATCCTCGATGCGCGTCAGAGCTCCGAGAGCTCCGCCTAGAACTTGGACGTCTGTGAGTGGTTGTATTAGTCGCGTTAGACGTCTCTCGCTGAGCTTTCAGACGTAGACCTTTCCTTCAGTTGCATACATTACAGTTGTGGATAACTAGTCTTTCTTCATCTTCATGTAGTGTTAGGCCCAATCAGTAATGCACCACATCGCCACCTTCCGTTTTCAGGAGACCGCAATAGCTCTCAACACCACGGCAAAACTTCCGCTGTCCTCTGAATCAAGGAATAAGTTGGAATAGCATAAATCATTAAATGTCGTACTGGGGTCGTGACATCAAAGCAGTCAGCGAGATCAAGAGAGATGCATGAACACATTCAATGAAGCAAATGGGTAACTTGAGCATGTCAGAGAGACCTAGATCATAGCAAATACACAAGGAACAACAGCGTATATCTCACCCCCAAAACGGCCACAAGACTTCGCGCGCGTCGTCTCCGCAGGATAGCACAATCAAGCATTCTTCGCTCACGATTCGTCTTAGCATCATACCTTGTCCATGTGGGATGAAGCCCACGATTTCAAGAGCACGCCGTCCGATCAGGGCCGGCGCCGTGCGAGGGATGCATCACGCCTTCTCCTGGTCGAAGAACGCGACGAGCTCGCCCACAGGCACCTTCTTCTTCCCCACAAGCGCCTTCGGCGGCGGCGGGCCCGCGTTCAGCTGCGCCTCCAGCTTCGCCTGCCTCCTCGCGACCAGCGGGTCCACGAACTTGCCCGACGTCGGCGTCACGGGCGGGATGGGCGCCCCGTTGCTCGCGTCCGACAGCCCGAGCCCGAAGCGGTCCGTCGAGCGCGACCGCAGACGGATGTTCAGCGGGGTGATGGGGGACGGGGCGGAGATCGCCTGCGAGCCCAGCGGGGCGTACATCGACTGCGGCCGCGCGCGTCGCGCCTTGGCGTCGCCGTTCGGGGAGGACGACGGGGAGGCCGCGTGTGAGGGCGGGGCGAGCGTGCCGCTCACGTGGCGCCCGGAGGACTTGCCGATCGTCTCGTCCCCAAAGCCGCCGTCGGACTCGTCCGCGCTCTGGCTGCTCGAAAGGGGGTCGTCGAGCGCGGAGGACGTGGACAGGGGCGACGTGGAGAAGTACGCGGTGCCGACGTCGCGCGACTGCGGCGTGGTGGGGCGAGGGTGGGCGGAGGCGGCGGCCTCTTCGCGGTCGCTGCGCTCGCGCGGCATGATCTGCTGGCCTAGCGCGACAGTGTAGCGTTTCCGCGGCGTGGGGCTCGCGCTGGATGGCCGCCAGGCAGGCGGATTGGGGGTCGGGAGCGCGTTGTTGGGGCTCGCGCTGTCCTCTACGCGCTTGCCGTTGCCGTTAGGGAGCCCGGAGGGAGATACGCTGGCTGAGAACGTCCCGCTACCTTCTTGGGAGGGCAGGCCAGCGATGGACATGTGGCGCGAGCGGGTCGCGGAGGTGAGCGAGGCAGGAGGAGAATTTGTCGGGGAAAATATGGCTGAGTCGGTGGGAGAGGCGTAGTCACCTGTTGGGTACGGGAGGCGAGTGCGGGAGGAACGGTTGGAAGGCACTGGGGTGGTAGTGTTCGGGCTGGTCGTCCCCGCCGCTCTGGGAGGGGTTGCGCGAGGGGGGCTGGTGACGTTTCTGGGAATCGAGTGGATGGCGATAGACGAGCTGGTGGACGGGGCTCTGCCAAGCGCCGCGGGACTACGCGAGGGACCAGAGGTGAGGTTCCCTGGCGCAGTGACCATCTTCGCCATCTCGCGGCCTAGTTCTCCGATGCGGCCCTGGAGCTCTGCCATTTCCTCCCTGAGGTCGCTCAAAGCGCTATCTCCAATGCCCGTGTTGCCGTCAGTGTGAGACTCTTCCTTCTCGCGCTCCTTCTCGACGAGCCAGCGCTCCACATCATCCATGCGCTCTTCGAGGGCGCGGACGTGGCTCACGGTCCACTTTTCGAGCTTCTCGAAACGCTTGGTAATCGTTAGAAGAGTACCAGGAACATCGAGCGCACCCTGGGCGTTGAACTGCGCATATATCGGCTGAGGTGCCCGAGATGGAGATGCGCCTTCGGCCTCCGACTCAGTGCCTCTCATGGGGGAAGGGGCGAGGCTTGGGGGAATACTGACAATACCACGAGGCATGGGAGAGGGGGAAGACGGCACTGCAGATACAGCTCGACCAGGAGACGCAGAGAGTCCGAGCTTGGCGAAAGCGGGGTCTTCAAACTTGCTTTCAGGAGTAGTTGGCCAATCCTTGCTCTTCTTCCGTTCTTGTTTCTTCTTCCCTTTCTCGATCTCTTTGTCGCGCTGTTTGGTTTCTTGGATGATCTGCTGAGCCGGCGTGAGAGGTTCCTTAGTCGGGGTAAGTTTCTGTTTGGCCACGGTCCACCAATTGCTCTCTTTCTGCGACGATGACGGGGAAGGAGGGGTTGCAGGCATAGTCTGCGATCGCGAAGGTGGCGGGCGGAGGGACTCGTCGGTATTGCCTTGTTGCAGCATGGCCATGACGCGCTCCTCCACGGTCCGTCTCTCCCTCTCTTCTGCTTCCCTAGCAAGGATGCGTTCCGCCTCTCGCCTGCTGCGCTCGCGTTCCCTCTCCGCCTCCGCCTCGAGCTCCTCGTCAGTCGGAAGTCCAGGCGATCGTGAACTCATGTTGCTCATCAGAGAGCCCACGCGCTGAGCAATATTCGCAGCGAACTGGCCAACTGATGGCGAGGGCGATGTCGAACGGAGACCCCACTGGCGATCGTTGTTCGAATCCTCGGACTGATGTGCGGAGGAGGCGTCGCTGACCTCGCCGGTGTGGGGATCGATAGCGAACCCGTTTCGCAAGGGCGAAGGTGGTCTCCTGTTTCCGTATACTGGTTCCGGCTGGCATATACGGCAATCAGCACGTCATGAATCTCTCAACTGTGGCTAGATAGTATCTGTTCTCACCAGGTTGAGCGGGGACGGAGGAGGCGGAAGTGACAGACGCCGTTGCTGCTGGGGAACAGATCCAGGTGGAACAAGGTTGGTGGTCGACATGGACGTCGAGCTTCTGTGGGAAGGCGAGGCCATGGGTGCTGCTTCGGCGAGCACGAGGCTCAGCTCGCCGTCGCGGACGTTGAGGAGGTCGGTGTTGGAACAAGCGCCTTGCGGGTTCGCGTGAACTCGGCAAACTGGGTCGCTTCACACCTGCCTCTCTTCCTCCCCGACCACGACTACGACCCCGGCCACGAATCACGACGCGGACACGATGAGCAACTCCTCGCAAAGCCTCGAGTTGCTTTTCACCTTCCTCTCGAGGTCGTATACTACCTTAGAGACCAATTTCTTCAAGATCCCCGGTTCCGCTGTCGTCGCGCGCTATGTCAAGTCATCGCACCAGAACGACCCTGGCCGCACTCTGCTCGAAGCCATCCTGATCATCTTCGCTATCCGGACCCTTCTGCAATCCCGTACGCGTGGTGACCAGTCCGCAAAGCACTTCATTCAGTTCGACGAGAAGGTGCGTGGCATTCGTCCGCTATCCTCTTCGTTTCGATACCTATAACTGTCTTTCTCAGGAAATCGATGAGCTTGTGGATGAGTGGACCCCAGAGCCTCTGGCTCAGCCCCTCTCTGCCCACGAGCAAGCCGAGCTCGCGTCTGTGCCTGTCATTGTCGGCCCCAACGGTCCCAAGCCTAAACTAGCGTCCGGAAAGATTGTCACCAACCTGGCTAGCTATAACTTCACTGGGCTCGCCGGCAACGAGGAAATCAAGGTCGCTGCTCTTGACACGTTGAAGCGGTTTGGCCTGGGCAGCTGCGGTCCCCCTGGATTCTACGGTACCCAAGGTGAGTCTCACTACCTCTTCGCTCATACTCCTCCACCGGTGCTGTGCTGGCAGAATTGCAAATGTTCCTGTGCACGGTCGCCGCAGTACAAGTTCAAGCCGGATGCGTTTTAGTGATATGTAGAGCAAAACGTCCAGAGTGTTGATGGTGCCGCGTTCTAGACGTGCATATCCAATTGGAGAAGGACATCGCCGACTTCCTAGGCACTGAGGCGTCAATCATCTACTCGCAGGCGTTTGCAACGATTTCCTCTGTTATCCCGGCGTTCTGCAAGCGTGGTGATATCATCGTCGCCGACCGTGGCGTAAACTTCGCTATCCAGAAAGGTCTCCAGATCTCCCGCTGCACGATCCGCTGGTATGACCATAACGATATGGAGAGTCTCGAGCACGTCCTCGAGAGTGTAGAGAAGGAGAGGCAGAAACGCAAGTCCCCGCTTACTCGTCGCTTCATCGTGACGGAGGGTATCTTCGATCACGACGGTGCTATGTCTGACTTACCTAAGCTTGTAAGTGCAATACACGGAGTCTGATCTTTTGCCATATGCTCACGACGCGACCATAGGTTGAATTGAAGAAGAAGTACAAGTACCGCCTCATTTTGGACGAGACCCTTTCGTTCGGCAGTGTTGGTCGCACTGGTCGTGGCTTAACGGAGCTCTACAACGTCCCGGTATGACCGTTGCGTACATAACTCTCGAAAACTATGTGCTTATCGCCCTTCGTTTCCTTTGCAGGCGTCCGAGGTTGATATGCTTGTCGGCTCCATGGCTACGGGTCTCTCTTCCTGCGGTGGCTTCTGCGCAGGTTCTCACGTTGTCGTGAATCACCAGGTACTACAATCGCTGGTTCTGGTATTCTGAAAACTGACCTGGAGGTTTCAGCGTATCAACGGAACCTCATTCGTGTTCTCCGCTTCAATGCCAGCCCTGCTCACCGTTGCTGCCTCCGAGGGCATTAACGTACTTCGCAACAGCCCCTCGATCCTCACAACGCTCCAAGAGAACGTCCGCGCAGTCCGCGCGATTCTCGACCGTGTCGACTGTATTCACATCCCCTCGCACCCCGCCAGCGCCGTCATTCACCTCCAGATCCGCTGGCCCACTCTCCAGGTACCCTCCGCGATGACGGCGACTCCCTCCTCGAGCAGCAAGTCGTCGCGGTCGAACCCACTTTTAGTCAAGCCGCGCGACCCACCGCAGTTCAACGTAGAGCTTGAGGAGAGGCTCCTGCAGGAGGTCGTCGACGAGGCGCTCGCGCAGGGCGTGCTGATCACGCGCGCAAAGCGTCTGCGCGGACAGGAGCTGATCGAAGTGCGGCCCAGCGTGCGGCTGGCGGTTACTGCCGCGCTGTCACGGAAGGACTGCGAGAAGGCCGCGGCCGTTGTCAAGGCCGCTTTCGTCAAGGTTGTTGGGAAGCGCCGCTAGAGACTGCTAGGGACTGGGAGAGGACTTGGTGATTCGCAACAATGGGAAATTGGCTTATTCGCTCCTCCGCTTAGAGCATGCGTTACGCGTGTGTATGGTCATGTAATAGCTGTAGTTATACTCATCTAATGGTTCACAATGCTGAGTTGCGTGTACACTCATCTACCGAGTTCACCGCAAGATGTTTCCACCGTGGGCACCTATTTGCGAGATGACAAGAAGACTTGCGGTGAGTTGATACGGTCTTGCACTTCAACAGTTCGCTGATACATTAGGCGTGACCCTTCTTCATTCTGAGGTCGTTTGCCAAACACGACTAAGGCAGGAGGGTTGATGCGATGCTCGTGTTCCTGACTACAAGTTTGATTGGAGTTTAGACAACCTATTCTTTGTGAGCTGATCATTGTTGGCAGTCTGCAGTGCATCGCTGACTACCTATACATCCAACAGCCTGAACATTATCGAGCTCTGTATACCCGGGGATTCTTCTAGTACAAAGCAGCTATCAGATGTCAAGAGGGAAGTATTGTTGTGTGATTGCTGTATCCTGGATCAACCGCGGTAAGAGCATCCAGCCATGCTCACTCTTTGCGGTACTGATGAACTTTCAAGCAAGGTTCATCGCGCAATCCGTTCCCGCAGCCCCCGTCAGTGTACGGGATGCGGCTCTCTACCTCTGGCTCTTGCCAGCCTAAATGACCTCGTGGCTCAGTGTGTACTCGATCTAAAACGCATCGTCCTGTTTCTCGACTTTGAATAACTCATGTAGCCAGCTCAAACGAACGTACACGCACATTACTCGCGTGGTTATATCATCGCCGCCCGACGTCATCGAAATACTTTATCATCATAGAAGCCGCATTGACAGTTCTTCCACTCGCACGTTGTCTCTCAAGCCGTTGGCAAGACTGCAGTATAAGTACGTTGCAGCCACAGCAGGTGCGCCCCCCTAACTCTCAATCCTTACAGCTTGCGCCTCCCGCTCCCTCGCGCAGGCACTGATGGCAATGCCTGTGTTTGACCCCGTCACGTTGATTCTCGTGCCGATAATGGGTATACCTCACAATCCGATCTAATCTGTTGTTTTAACCTTGCTTCATCTCAAGGGGTCATATGGCTGCTGTTCATGGCCGCATGGTTCTGGGACATTTACAGGTTTCGACGTCTATCGCGGCTCAATGAGGGATCCCAGCCTCCACTGGTGTGTATGATTTCTCAGCTGCGATCGGGAGACGCCAGTATTGACAAACGTGAGATGCAGTACGCAACTACAGAGAGGAGGGTGTCAGTGCTATCTACTCCGGACACCTCTCCGGGGGCACCCTTGCTATCGAAGGTACCGACAGGCTCTCTACGAGTGCTCGAGAACAGTCAACCACCAACTTCGCCTCCCTCCTCTCCTTTGAGAGTCGACCTAGCACTGGTCCCAAATCGCTACCAAGTATCACACCCCACAACCAGCGATGATCTAGCCCTAGACTTTCGCGCTGTCAATGGGATTTCTCCTGAGCGGCGTTCAACTATGACCACCGTGTATACGACCACCGATACTCCATCAGGTCCTGCGGATAGTTCCCTTGTCCTCGCCTCACACCGTAATGACATTGATACGGCGCAACTTGTCGAACCTCCCTCTGAAGGACAACAATCTCCTTCAGTCATACGGTGAGTACTTTGAGTTCCACAGCGAGCAGTAGATGCATCCAGACAGTTTGATGACGACGATGCACCTAGTATTGTGTCGCGGATACACTCTCCGCGAGCAAGTCCTGTGTCAGCTACACCTGCCCCCTCCGACTACGCGGACACCATGTCGATATCCTCGTCTACGATCCCACCTTCATATCATACGGATCACTCATTCCCCGACCTTCCTTCGTACCCTACCACCCCACTTCACCCGATCGATGGCTTGATGCAAGACCCCCGCGCGCCGCCGTCTGCCTTCACAATCAACAGATCTCGTATACAGGGTCCGCGCTCTCGGACACCATCTTCGAGCTCCCGCAGAAACGTCCGGCAGTCAAATCCTCTCCCGCTACTCTCTACTGGTCAAGGAGATCCATTTGCTGATGGCCAACAACGTGAGGATACGCGGCGGCCTGTTGTTACACGGAGACATAGGCAGGCAGTGGATGGTGGTGTTCGCCTAGCTGGGGGGACTTTGGACAATCATGGAGTTGTAGGAGACGAGTGGGATTATCACATTGACGAGATTGACACGACCGCGCTACCGGACTATGGCGTAAATATGTAGTGGGAGAGGAGAATTGCACGTGGTGTGGTCGAGTCTCTTTCGCGGGCCATAGTAACTTTCGAGATGGAGCCAATAGGCCCGATCCCGTTGTGCCATGGTGCTTGATCGCCATTCATACATAAAGCCACGCAAGAAGAATCATTGGTCAAACGTCATGGCTATGGTATATGCAATGACTTCTGTTGTTCCTGTAGAGGTCAATGATACACTTTGGGGAAACTACGGGTCAGTGCAGGTCCGTTGCACGACACGGCAGCGCATCAGGCGAGATCAAATATAAGCCGATGTGGTGCCCAGGCTCGACGGACGAAGCGTTCATTTTGACCGACTCAAGACGAAGTGGCCAGGCTCAGAGAGTGCTCCGCGGCGATTTCTTGGAGTATATTCGTATATAGTGTCATTGGCTTCAAAGTTGGTATCGTGAGACACGGGTTGCAAACCGCATCTCTCTTCTGGGCGTCTATCTAATCTCTCCTGCCTCCCGTTTTCAACTACTCAGTCGAGTGCTCTTTTCTTCCTTTCCTCATCCTTGATCTCGTTCAACACCACGCACCCTTCATGTCCTCAATACGATGGAACAAAAGCGCGCCCAAACGTATGTTGCCGTCTACTGCTGAACCTCTTGAATGTTGTGACTGACGCAAGGACAGCCTGGAGGCGCTGGAAAACTTCATACAGACTCACAAGACGCTGCTCGAACGTACATACGCCGACATAGAGGGGCTCCGAGCTCTTCGCGCGGATGTAGCGAACGATGCCGCTCTCAGTGTTGAAAAGCTCGCAGGGATGGTGCGTCATCCATCCATCCGTCCGTCCGTCCGTCTCCAGCATTCGACGTCGCCAACATCATGTTTCCAGCTCGACGAGCCCTCTTTCAAATTGAGCGAGCAGCTCGACGCTATGCCCCCGCTTCCCGCTGAGCTCGACTGGTCGCTCTTTGGCGGAGCTGACGCCGCGCCTTTCAAGACCATGGCGACCACTGCGCGCGAAGCCTACGCCGCGCGCAACGTCCCTCCGAAGACCCAGCTCTCCTCCCCCTCCGCCTTGCGCCAGTTCGTCGCTAGCAACCGCCTTTCTATCATCGACCCTGTCCTCACTGCCTTTCGCCTCCCTGATGAACTCGCATGTATATCCTCAGACGAGGAGGTCGACCCGGAGGAGCTCTGCCGCGCCCGTGAGCGCGAGAAGATCCGTGAGCTCAAGAAGCGGCGGATCGAAGGGGACGCTCTGGGGGGCAATGGCGCGGCGTTCTCAGGCCTCGGGCTGCGGAAGCCCGTCGCTGGGGTGTTCATCCGGCGGGACCAGGAGGACGAGAGTGCGGAGGTCGACATCTCGATGGCCGAGGACGAGAGCGCGCGATCGGTCCCCGGCTCGACCTCGGAGGTCGTACCTTTGACTGTGGATACCCCTGCGACGAGCGTGGCGTCCCTCCCGCCGTCCGCTTCTGTCGAGCGGGAGGCGTTGACTCGGGAGCGGCGCCCAACTCGGAAGGCGCATGAGAACGCCAAGAACGTGGCGACGGTTAAGGCGAAGGCGAAGGCGAAGGCTAAGTCAAAAGGGAGGGCACAGGCCAAGACCAAGGCCAATACCGAGGAGGACTCAGAGGAGCATCCCGCCACCGAGCCGCCAGCTGACAAGAACGGCAAGGCGAAGTCAGAAACGTACAAGCAAGCGTGGTCCGTTTCCGAGCAGCACCTGCTAGAACGCTTGTTGGAGGAGATCCCCGAGGGCGAAAAGAACCGGTACGTGGAGCCGCTGATGTACGGTTTCCCGTGGGCGGCGTGGCTGACGGTGTGTGTTGTGCGACAGGTGGGCGAAGATCTCGAAAGCGATGAACGGGCGTCGGACAGCGCGACAAGTAGCAAGCCGCGTGCAAAAGTACTACGAAAAGCTGAAGAGGTTCGGGATTGAGGTCGGGGGCAGCAAAGCGGGAGCCGCGGCATCTTGACGCTAGTTGAATCGCTTAATATGGACACTATCATATCGTACCTAGTACCCTGCACTGTATCTATAGCATTCCTCCTTGCACTGTCGCCGACGTTGCCCCGCAGACAAGAAGGTTTCCCAGCTCCGTTGCAGAAGGGGACGGCGACCACGGAAGAGACGATCATCTGACTCCATCATGATTCCCTTCGCGCGGGGCAATTGTACGAGCGGCTCCGGTCGCACACTCCTTATTCAACAGGCCACACCGCCGTTCCTTGCCAGCTCATCCTTCCCTCGTTTACTCTTCGTTCCTACTCTGTGCTTACACTCGCTCACACTCTTGACGACACTACACCGGTATGGCTGGACGCTTCGATCCGAACAACGCGCAGAATCTCGTCGAGGTATGCGCCTTCTCCACTGCCTGCGCAAGCTAGTGCTCGCCGTAGTAACCGTGCATTCCCATAACGCTGTTACTCCCCAGATCGAGAAACAGTGAGTAGGAGGCGTTCGTGTGCTTCTTGGAGATCGCGCAGCTGAGCTTGATGCGTCGCACTGCTTGCCCTGAAGATTCGCCGTGAAGGCCGTTGAACACGCTCAGGTACGTGTTCGGTACGCTCGCCGGTCCTCGCCGTTATACTGACCGAAAGCTTGCCCCGTAGACGTACTGGAACTTGCTCGAGAAGGTCGCACCCCGCGACCTCAAGCTCACGAAGTACGTCGTCCGCGGACGGTCCCTACGCGAATCTCACGCAGCCGTCTTCTCCCCCTGCACACGTTCCGCTTACGACCGGACTTGTGATGCTCTTGCAGGATCGACGATGAGATATTCGAGCACGCAATAAAGGAGTTCCCCGAGCTCTCGGAGAACGACTACGAGAAGCTGATCAAGCTCGACGAGGACTGGATGAAAAGCGAGTCGAGCAAGAAGCGCTGGCGGGACTTCATCGCTTCGTGAGCCTTTCCTTACGTTTACATTGCTCTCGCAACCCGTGCGTCGGCAGCTAACATTGCGCGTGCGCACTGCGGATGGCAGATACGAGAAAAAGGTCAAGGACTATAACTTCGGCTCCCTCATCCGCACAGACGCGCGCCAGGAATATAGCGAGACGAACACCATCTTCGTTACGCGAATACAGGTTCGTCCTGTTCTTCAAGTATCTCATCCTCTCTGTTTGGATGTCCCGGCGAGGCGGCGCGGGGGGTTGGGAGTGCTCGCGTTTGTGAAGACGGAACGCTTACGTGTCCGGGCCACCTTTCCCTGTAGTTCTACGTGTTCGAGATCGCGCGCAACCGGCTGGGTCTGAACGACAAGGCGCACGAGATCGCGAAGGAAGAAGCAGCTAAGGAGAAGGAGAAGGCGGAGAAGGAGAAAGCGCGCGCAGAGCGGGAGAAGGCAAAGAAGAAAAAGAACTGAGCGCGCGTGTGCGACGGGGCAGATGTGTATGAGGCGGTTCGCGGTGACGCGCCCGCGCGCGCAAGATGTATATTTATGCGATAATGGAATGGGATACCGTCCGTCGGCGTGCGGATGTGATCGAGTGCATCCATACAGTTCAGTGATGGCTGCATCCTCCTTAGTCTCAATAGGGGCACTTCTGCTTCACGGTCCCGGTGCGTCTTTGCGTGGATCTCAGGAAATGTTCGCTCGTTGCTCATTCGAATTGTTGCAGAGATGCTGGGGGCCGAGACATGACTGCTATCTGCTTGGAAGACTGGGATAACTCCGGTTGTTGACTGATTAGGACGTCCCAACCTGCTTGTCGCCGTCATGGGGAGGAGCAACCATCTTAGTCATGGCCGTCCAGAAGAAATTCTGAAGGACGAACAGTCAGACATGGCAGATGCAAGAAGCACGGATCCTACGCCCAAGACAATCATCTGCCGACCCTGCGCTCTCTGTTCCTCTGGGACAAATCGCCCGGAGGGCAATTAGTGACCCATCTCAGTCTCGAGGGGGGGAGAGAAGGAAATCTCTGCCGCCACATCGGAAGTCATGGGCGACCCCATCGCTCCCAAGCAATTTGAATACTACATCGTATGCGTTGTATATTTCCGAGTATTGGATACAGATGCTGTGATTGGCATGGCCACCACTAGGGACTGGGATACTATCCGTGTAAATGCTGTATGGAGCCTTCAACCATTTGTTGACGATCTGCCAAAAGACGAGAGGAGGAAAGGTCGAATGGCCGGAGCCTATACTAGCAAAGTAGCTTAGCCACAAGTTTCCAGGACGCACACGAACAATCCAGATGGTGAGAAGAACCCAGTCAACAGAGGTACGCATTGCCCTAATATGCGCAAGGTCCGAGTCTGAGTCAATCTGGGATCAACTCGGAGACGGGATATCGTCTCCCTATATCACGAACACACCCGGCATATCCATATCGAGATACCGGCCAGCGATTGCATTGGCATACATTTTAGCTATCCATGTCCGTGGAGAGGCAATCAACATGATGTGCCCAAACATCGTAGCCTCCGAGTGTTGGGATGTACACGAAACATAAGCAACTGCAATATAGCAGAGCAGTCCGAGTCTGCAAGAGAATGAACGGATACAACCAACAGATGCTGGACCTGCCTCATCCCGACAAGACCAGTGCGCATGCGCTGCGACTACCATGTTTGACACAAGAAAGTCAACGACTTGAAGTATCACGATATGAGCCATCTACAATACATTGCGCTATAGCGTACTCCATGTCCAACCCGAATCCATGATTAGTAGTAACGATATCCGCACTCCGTGCGGCCCCAGCTTTGCCTAGAAGTCCCCGAGGTCAATCTCCACGCTCTGCAGCAAGCTCGCCTCGAAGCTCATGTTCCCATTGCTCTTCGGTGCATTCCCCGTACCCGGAGGCGGGGCAGCAGGCGAGAGGGAGCGCGGAGTCGAGCCGCTAACGGCAGGCGTCCCTGGCGTGCCCGGTCTGTTGTTTGCGTAAGAAGATGAAGGACGTACCGATGAAACACCATACAGTAGGCAGAATTAGCCAAAGCGAGAGGACCACGAACGATTCGTCAACAAGCCATTCACAAACGAGCACCACCCGAAGATGCACGGAGCCACAGATGGGAACAACACCGACCTCGAAGTACCCCCACCAAGCATCTTCGCCTTCAGCCTTGCCGCCGCATCCAGCGCCGCCCCACTCGGGGCCCCGTTTGCGTTCGGAGTAGGGGTTGTGGCTCCACTTCCTGCCCTCGCGAGCTTCTCCCTCCTCCTGCGTTCCATCTCCGCGCGCTCCGCCTTGCGCACCTGCTCCTGGTTCAACCTTCGGTTGCGCTCGTTGAGCTTCGCGAGGATGTCCGACGAGCCCTCTTCCTCCCGACCCCTCACGGGGGCGTTCGCCTGAAGCTCGGCTAGCTTTGCGTCGATTTGGGCGACCTCGGCGAAGTCCTGACGGCGGATCGCGAGCGTGCGCGCCTGCTGGAGGCGGGAGCGCTCCATGGTGAGGGAGGTGGAGGACTTGTTGACCGAGACGTTGATGTCGCGCTTGCGTTGGAGGATTGCGGCGATGTCACTCTGCATTGGCGGTCGAGATGACGAAGTCAGAGACGGGGCATAGAGGTAAACGACGGGATGAACGTACCTCGGTCATTGGCTGATTGGCGAGCTTTTGGAGCTGCGCGGTCTTTTTCTCGAGCTGCCGCCTCATCGGCAGCTTGACCTTCTCTGTCTCGCATGTCTTCTGCAGACGCTCAAACTCTTTCTATATGCGGTCCACGCATGTTCAGCTAACCAAAGGACATGCGCACGTGGTGATGAGACGCACCTCCTCGAAGGGACCATTGGATATCTTGTCCATAGCAAACCGACGTGTCGACCCTCCGTGCTTTAGTTCAAGCTCCTGGTTCACAAGTTGGTCGTTCACCTTGTATGGCTTGACTGTCGCTTCCGGCAAGTCTGCATCCGACCGAGTCCAATGCACACTGAACATTCATGTTCTCGAAGGTAGCCGCGCCAACCTACCGACAACTTCGCATATTCGATACACGGGTTGCTTGTTCTCCTCGCCTATAAGGTATCGCACCCAGGCACCTACAAAATGTCAGGGCTGCTACGTGCGCAAGGAACGTCAAGGAAGGCGCACCCTTTATGTATTCGCCAAACCAAGGCGCCATACAATACTTCGCTATTTGATTGCGTGTGACTCGGCACTTCTCTAGGTCCTCCAAAGTGATCGATAGCTCTTCTTCAGGTGCGACTTTACCGAACAGCTTGCGGTCCCGTTCTTCCTCCTCGTCGTACTTAGTAATCTGACCATCCTCCTCTTCCTCGTCGGACATGTCCATATCCATAGGTGAAGATGAACGATCTCGTTTAGGTGAGTTTGTCCTCGTCTATTGCTGTCAGAAGAAGCGTCGCAGTCGCATGTAAGAGGGATAACTCGCACTCGTTTCTTCTCGTCCTTGGCTTTCCGTTTCGCCTTCAACTCGTCGAGCTTCCTGGTCTTCTCTTTGGTAGCTCCACGGATCGCGTGTTGTCCTTCGGGAACGTGAGAGAAAGGTAGACAGCAGAAAATGATGGGATATACGTTTTGCGGCCTTCGAGACAGCATCCTCCCCTCCTCCTGCCCCACTCCGAAGCTTGAGCATCTGATCAAGCTGCCGCTTGTCGGCAAAACGCTGCAATTCCTCTTGTCTTTGCGCGAGCACTTCTTCACGTTCAATCTCAGGCATGTCCATCAAGCTTCACAAGGTTCAGCGGGGGGCAACGAAAGTAGAGCATATCTCTACATACCGATTTCTGTCCTCTTCGTCGATGAACTTCCCTTCTAGTGGGTATGGGTTTGACTCCGTCTCTTCTTCGCTTTCAGGCTGTCCTGCTTCCGACTCAGTCTCATCGTTCGTGCTTTTATAGCCCGGAAAATCGAACAATCAGAGGGAGACCAAACGTGCGCGAGGGCAAAATGAGGGCTTACTCGGCTTTGCGTCGTTTGGGGGGCGGGTTCTGTTGGCTTCGCTTACGCTTCTTTTCCGTCGCGCCAGCAAGCTCAAGCAACTCATCGTCAATGTCGCCTTCTGAGTCAGACATTATAGCAAACGGCCGTCAAGGAAAGGGGAGCAGAAGGGAGGAAAGGTGGATTATGGCTTGGTGTTGTGTTGGAAAGGAACGGAGGCGTCCTCGTTCTCGGTCCAGCACTGCCGTTCGGGAATTCCCGAGTTTAGCCTCTTCCAGGAATTTACCGTTGGCGCCTATGCTGTCTTTCCACGGACAAGTCTGCGACTCCTGCGCTCGTCCATCCGACTGTTGCTTGCCGGGTCCATCTGGCCCTTTCTGTGCTCTGCCGCTTCTATACAACATCAGATATCAGTTATTTTTTAGTGAGATAGACTGTACGGCACCTAGGCGCCACTTTCTTGCTCACAATTCCTGATTTTCGGCGAGACTTGTTTTCTTCCCCATGGTTGTGAGTACCACGACCTTGGCCTTGCTCTATCTAAGTCTAAGTCAACCCAGAAAATCAATGTACTTCAACATGCGCCCTCCTCACACCTACCTGCACGACCTGGAGATCCTACTCCTACCTCCCGGAACCTCGATCCACTCATGCACCCGTTTGCCCGCGCGAGGGAACGGACGAGGGCTCTTAATGCCGCAAAAATGGAGCGTATGTTTGCCAAGCCGTTCGTAGCGAGCTTGGAAGGACATGTGGATGCCGTGGAGACAATGGCGAGGAAACCGGACACCCTAGACATCGTGGCAAGCGGGAGCTGGGACGGAGGTGCGTCTCTTCCACGATTCTCTGCACCTTGGGACAATCTCGAACTCCTTGTCGCATATAGGCCTCATCCTGCACGATGTATCAAGGAGAAAACGACTGTTCCAGGTTGACAATGCTCACAAAGGCAAAGTCTCCGGCGTGTGCTTCGGGCAGCAGGGACGACTCTTGAGTTGTGGAGTAGACCGGAATATCAAACTTTGGGACACTGAAGCAAGTCTTGATGACGACGATTTCGGTGCCGGTCCCTCTCAGGTAAGCCAAGCAGTGCAGATGATAAGAGCCTAACGTAACACTGAGTCTGCAGAGGAAACCCGTCAGCATATTTCCTGGGAAATTTGCATTCAAGTACGTTCCTTCGCCTCAAACGACCGCGACTTACGCTAAGCCCGAAATAGCTCCATAGATCATCACCGGTATGATCCTTTTTTCGCAACAGCGTCCAACCTTGTCCAAGTATGGGACGAGACGAAGTAAGGAGACGATCCTTTGCCCGATTCAGGATGCTCGTTGACTTCGGAGCCCAGGAGCGCCGCAATATCCAACCTAACACTTCCTACCTCGACGGAAACTGTCACAGCAATCCGTTTTAATCTAGCAGAGGCGTCGGTACTAGCTAGTATAGGCTCTGACCGCAGCTTCACCCTCTACGACATAAGAACGGGGAAAGCTGAACGGCGGATCATCATGCAAGTACGTCCCATTCTCGTATCTTCATACAGCGGCCCCAAACAAAACCCTAATTTCCACCGATCACCTTCACCAGATGCGCAGTAATGCGTTGTCATGGTCCCCGACTTTCCCGACCTGTGTCCTTCTCGCGTCGGAGGATCACAATCTCTACACATTTGACATCCGCTCTTTGAACACCCCTACACAGATTTATAAAGCGCACGTTGCCGCAGTCATGTCCTGCGACTGGAGCCCAACTGGTCTAGAGTTCGTCAGTGGTGGTTGGGATCGGACAGTCCGGATATGGAAGGAAGGACGCGGCTCTGCGCCCGAGATCTACCACACAAAACGCATGCAGCGGTACGCTTCTTCCATTTAGTCTTCACGCAGCAACTCGCTTATACATGGGCTTCGACGTTCATAGCGTCATGTCAACACTATATACAGGGGACTCGCGGTTCGTCCTATCGGGCTCGGACGACGGCAACGTCCGCGTCTGGAAAGCGCACGCGTCCGACAAGCTCGGCATCATCACAGCGCGCGAGCGGGCTGCGATCGAGTACCGCGAGAGTCTCAAGTCGCGCTGGAAGGCCGACTCGGAGGTCAGCAAGATCTCCCGGTACGTCCCCTTCTTACCCTTCCCCCGGAACTCACCCCTCTCACTCTCCGCTCTTCTCTGGCTTCTCTGATCTCGCAATGTTTCGCTGACCGCTCCCGTGCAGCACGCGGCACCTGCCGAAGCCGGTGCACAAGGCGTCTCAGCTCAAGCGGACGATGCTCGAGGCACAACGCGTCAAGGAGGAGCGGCGCCGGAAGCACACACGCGCGGGCGAGCACAAGCCGAAGGCGGAGCGGAAGAAGGTTGTCATCACGGAGCACTCGTAGCGTTGCATTGCCTGTTTCTGCTTGTCGTGTTTTGTCGATATCGCTTGCTACGTGCGTCTTGTCCGGTGCGCCTGTCAGAGTCATTGCAATCTATTCAGTTCGGTGAGGCTACGACACATACAGATACTCCTTCTCTTGCACTCCGCTGATTAATCGCTAACTGGCGAATTTCAGGGGAATCTGTTTATTCTTACGCCTTACCGCCGGTCGCTAGCTGCTGCGAATCTATCAACGCTGAGGTTCTGTTGTACGTCTCTACTCCTGCGGTCCGCAGGTCGCAGCTCCTCACGATGGATCGTTGTCTCCAATCTCCTGGTTACACCTCACCACTTGACCATTTGCCTTGCGCGCGCTTCCTACTTCCTCATCATCTTCGCAACATGAGATTATATGTAACTGGACGCATGTTCGTGGCATCTGAGTCAGCTGCAGAGCGAACGCTGCCCTGTTGTGCAAGGGGGGCTGGTGATTATCTGGATGACCTCGCAGCATTCCAGAGACGAGTCATCTATCGCGTCACATCATCAAGTCCAGGTCCAGCCAGGGCTTCGACGATGAATAACATCGGAGCTTAGCAGAAGGTTCACTCATCTTGGCTTGTCGCACGTCGCTGGGTGCACGAGGCTCTCTTGGTTTGTCTGGGCTCGGCTCCTTCTCCGGAGTCGACTTGAAGTGGTGAAAGCAGGGCAGGAGGCAAGTCAATGTAGCGGGCCGAACGCAGCGCTAACGCTTCTTTGAATTGTCATATGGGTTGCTGCCTTGACATGCTCGTCGCTTGCCATAGGCGACAAGCAGATGAAAGGTACTCGGGCGCGATGCGCACCCCATCACGCACAGCTGACATCGCTGTTTGTGCTAGGCCTAGCGATGTGCGTCACGACTCGAAGTGGATGCGTAAACGCAATCGTACAAGTAAAGCGAGAAAGGCACGAGCATCTTCTACGGTGTGTACAATCATTGAGACTCTCAGTCTATGCGCCTGACTGTAGGATGTTTCGCAATAAACTTCGTACCAGGACGTCGAGCCCATACCCGTCAAACAGACCTCCGTTCGCCGCGCATGCCACAGAGTACTTGCTCACATGCAGGGCCTGCCGCTCACCACGGGAATTCTCAGCTGTCCCGTGCATGCCTCGTCAGCGACTATGCCGCGATGGGGACCTGTGGAAGCGTCGCATACGGTTTGAATTCTAACTGCGTTCTGACAGTAGGCCATGCGAATCCGTCGCCGATGGTGCACACTCCAAGTGCGCCCCGCAACCGGGTAAGTTGTGTAAGGACCGGTGGTTTCATGGCGCTCAAGGAAAACAGAAGCCGCTTGTCACACAGTCGCGGCGCACTGTGTTGATGCCGAGGGGGCCCAGCCCGTCACGAGGTGCGCAGCAACCCGATGGACACGACGCCTCTCTTGGCTGGCGGAACCCCACGGTCTGCGAAGGCTGCTGTGGTGCTCGAGCGCCGTCAGAGCCAACATTTGTATTGTCACTGTCGCTCATTCTTGCTGGGTTCGGCACCGTCGGCACGTAAGAGACGACAGGTGTGAGGCGAGCGTAGTCATTGACGCTTGCCCCTGATCTGCAATGAAGAATAGATTTTCATGGATTGCGATGCTGGTGGTTTACGTATACAATCGGGATGTGACGCGACATTCGGCGTAAGGTTCCAGTTAAAAGAAGGATGGCCGATTGCGGACGTGAGATACAAGATAGTACAGCGCACAACAGCCGGAGGATGTGTGGATGTCCGGGGCACGAGTACAAGGATGTGGGACAGGACGTATCGTACAACAGAGGGGGGCAAATACAGATACAGCCGACGTTCTACAGAGAGCCTTGATACGTGTGGAAGAAGAGCACAGCCCCGCAGTACTCAAGGGATTGGAACTTTGCAAACTACGGAATTTGACTATGTTGCGCGACGGAGCCGTGTCGACCAGCTGTGAAATCTTATGAGAATGGAAACATACGAAGACATTTGCCGACGACGACGGTGCAGTATAGAAGACACTCACGATAGCGATCTCACGGCACCACACGCTACGCGTCGTATCATGATGATAGTCGATCCTGAGCACTACCACGGGAGTTGTTCGAGCTCGGGCCTACAATGGATGCTACGGTTGTGGGGTCGATGACGAACAAAGCGACGCCTGCAACGAGAGCGAGGGCCATCGGGGTCGCAGATTTCACCAAAGCAGTCTACATCATGCGATAAGCAATCAGCACTTCCCAGTGACCTTCTCAGGCCAAGAGCCTGAGGATCGACTCACCGAGTACCCATTGCCTCGAGCGCCACGTCGGACATACGGGCGCAGTCGCGAAGGGCCGTCAAAGATGATCGGGGAAGGAAGAGGCGCCGCCAAAGTCTCAACACCGGATGGAGCGACCCTGGATGTCACAGGCGCCTTCGCCCTGACGCCAAAGGCACGGAAAGAGACGAAAGGACGGTGTCGTGGGCGAGCAGGTCCGTCCAAGAGGATCGGGGGAGGGAGAGGTTTCACAACATGTCCCTGGGCCGACGCCTGCATGGTGAATGGTCGTGCGCTGTGGGTCGCGGCGGACGCTGCGGCGTTAGCGACGAGGAGCCTGCTTGACTCTCCAAGCCGACTAGGGGCGTCGAAAATGTCGAAGATGTTCATGCCAATCGATCGGGACTGCGATCCGTCAATGGGAGACGCCGCGGCGGAGACCATTGGACGGGAGGAGGTTGAGTTCGTTGCAGAGGGGAAGGTGCGCAGAGCAGAGGAGCGGATGGTAGACATGACTGAGCGCAATGGTTGAATCATCGTGCGAACGCGTGAGGAGTCCTGGTGTTGAACCAGGATTTGAATGTAGACGGTGAAGGGGAGGGGGCGGGCTGGGCTGACAAAAGGGACTGCATTGTGCGGTCAGCCAATATATGTACTAAGTGCATGCACCACCATTTTCGGCGGAATGCATAAAGTCTCAGGCTTGTAGGACAGGTCACATCTGTTCAAGTAACGCTCCTGGCTGCCGGAGCTGAAGCGGCGCTACGACTGCAGAGTGATGATGGGAGGGAAGAGCGTCCAAACAGGCCATCTCCCAGCCAAGATGGTCTAGGCGCGGTCGCGTTTGTGATGCTGCGTCGAAACGCGAAGAGATGGCTCTTACGGCCCTCGTCGAGAGCGCCATCGTGTTATTCGGTGAGCTGCTTGCAGCCTAATCCGCTGCAGTGACATTAGCACCACCGGGGTCTTCAGTCGTCCGCCGCTCACCGCTCGCCTGGCTATAGCCGCTCAAACGCCACCAAGCTCGATGCACCGGCGCATCCCACCTCGAGAAGCATCTGGCCACCAGCACCAGCATGAGCAATACGCGCTGACTCACTGTGATACGTAGAGGGCGGCTAGCCAAGGATACGGACTATTCGTTGCCAATTGCGTAACAAAATTTCCAAATGAGTGCTTCCAGATGTTCGTGGTGTGGTTCGCAGAGCAGCGGGCCGAAGAACGCTGTTCGGCTGTTCGCACTCCATGTACGCTGGTACAACACCGGGCTCAACTCTGAACGCTGGGCACGATGAATCCCAGAGCCGTGACCAGACCACAGTACGCTCGTCCATCAGATTAAGACCTGGCAGATCGCGGATCCTGTATGAGCGTGGCCCAGGGCATAGAAAGACGCACGTTGCTTACCGTACGCGATGGCGATGTTTTGCCAATCCTCTTGGTCTCCTTCCGAACTTTCTGGATGCTGGGCACGGGGACTATACGACCAAGACCTCGTGGGAGTGAAGGTCGTGATATCGAAACAAGCGAGCATTCCGCAGGTCGCGGAGTTTGGCCACACTCGGCGGTAACGATGGAGTCAGAAAATAGATACGCGCCTCAATACCGTAAGGCACGACATGTCAGGGTCGTCGATACAGAACGGTAGCCTCGATGGCGTCGCCTGATTTTAGGCATCGTCGATCTAGATCTTTGTGGGGTTCATTTTCCGTCCCCTGTCAACCTCCCTCTGCAAACTTTGAGGGAAGAAGGATGCATGCGGACGTATGCGGATATTCAGGAAGCTTACCTGAACGCGCATCATACCTGCCAACAGGATCATCACGCAGCATGGGCTTCAAGTTCTACGACCCATGACGGGGCCCCTGTGTCAAGAGAAGGCGTCAGACGGTTCGGATGCCAAACGTCCGAGCGGCGAAGCGGCACATGCAGGCTTTGTAAACGAGCGTTCCGTCGAATTGGGGACAACCGGACATTCACCTGTGAGGCCGGATCACGTCGACGTCCCGCCTTCTCAGCGAGTCAGTGACTGTAGAACGCCAGCAGGTTAGGTCAAGTGACAAGGCTTAAGCGATTGAACCACATGAAAAGTATATTAGGCGTACCGCAGATGCCACGGTGTCAGTATCCGTTTCAAAGTACCAGACAAGAACTGCTGGGAATGCGGTGAAAAGATGCCAGGTGTAAGCACGCGGATCGTACTGGTAGCGGGTTGGCGTTAAGCATTGCAAAGACGTTTTGAGGGCGATGACGTGACAAGACATTCACCTAAGAATGGCATGAGGTGCGAATCCAAAAGATCTGGACCCCAGCACGAGCGACCGCCGAGAATACAACCATATCCGCTGACTCCGTAGGATGTCGCAGCAGACAAAGCAGATACCAGGTTCGCGTTGCGTGGTTTGCTGGTGATACAGTCTGGCCTCCGCCAAACGTCCTAGGCTCAGACCTGCTGCGTTTGTATGGGAGAAGCTGGTAGCATGAATACTCACTAGAGCGTACGGATATTCGAGCGGGATTCTGACGATATTCTGAAGAATTAGGGGCACCTGTGCCAGAGGAGGTCCCAAGGTCCGAAGTCCATTGACTACGGAGCGTAAACTGCTCCCGTCAAGTGTCAGGTAAGCGATTGAACCATATGAAGAGGGTGTTGGGCGTACCGCAGGTGCCATGCAGTGAATTGTATACGCGAGATGCCCGGACACGGCTGTCATGACTGTGCTGAACGGTTACCGCAGCGTTTCCACGTCGTCAACCGATCGAGCGGAAGCGCGCAGGCCACTGTGGGTTTGCTATGACCTACGCTCCCTGCTCTTGAGGCCCGAACGGCAATAGCCGCCAAAACTCGGAGCGAGCTGTAGAGAACGTGATCAATGGCGTGCTGCTTGTCAGCAACAGATCATTAAGGCTCATGAGATGCCGTATAAAGCTGCGACGTTTATACAAATGCTGGTCATTGCACACTTGGAGGGTACAGATTCACCCTTGAAATAGTAGGACCGACGACCTTCCCCGGCCACGAGGACCGACATGGCCACTTGCCAGTAGAATGACGAACCGTTCCGCTCGAAGCCAATGGCAACTGATCTGCGGTCAATGATTGAAGACGTAGATTATTGCCATTGGCGCCATTCGGATGCAGCGATGATGGGGACGGAGACGTAGGATTTCGCGCATGTATTGAGAGGCATGAATACAGCGTTCGAGCGCCAGATCCGAATTCGTCTTTGGACATGGTTGTAACGATGGTGCAATCGTTCTGATTCGCGCCACGGCGCTGAGCAATGAACCATACAAACGCCTGAACATTAGACCGGGCATGAGTCTAGACGGCTCTACAATATCAGGGCGGGACACACGGGACGAACCTAGACATAGGAACAGTACCTGAGAGTGATGGCAGTCCGATGAAGGCGCCTTGAAGGTGCACCGCTCGTGACGAAGCGTAACCTTTCTACAGATGGAGCAGAGCCACAGAGTTCTCGCACCTTCGTAACTCACTGACTGCCCTGAGGCGCATCGCACATCGTTTCTAATGACTTCACCGGGTGTCCACGCGCAGCCCGATTGCAGGTCGTGGCACTGCTTATGAGATCCTGCAGGTTTTCATTGCCGGAAGGTTACGAGCATCGGCGGTCATGTTGGGCGGCCGGGGTGTCATGTGAGCTCTTGAACGGCTCCACTACCGCCAATTGTAAACAAGTGTGAACCTGTCAAAGATGATCTCAGCTTGAACAGCATGTAACAACGAGGGCTAGATATGACCGGTGCACACTGAAGTAGAGCTGAACAACGTCGTGAATATTGTCCTCGCAGCGGGTTGATGACACGTCGCTGATCGGACGGGCAAACCGATCGCCTCTCCTGGTGCCAGGGGACCAATGCTATCTCACGAGGACTTCTGAGACCCAAGGTTATATGGGCGCTATGCTGGTCGGTCTCTCCCTATTTCCCCTTCGTCTCCAGCATCTCGTCTTGATAATGAACACTCATATCCACTTCAGAATCCATTTGATGCAGCTTTTTGTGCTTGTTGTGGCTGAGGTGCTCCGCGCAGCACCGTGAAGGTTCTCCTCGGATGTTGTTCCTATCGACCGACATCTCCCCAGGCTCTAGTGAACTTTGAAGGTCGCCTTCGCAGGTCTTGAATCCCATCGCGGATCTATTCGTGGCCGATGGAAAGGCATGGCCTTCGACGACGCGTGCCATTGCCTTCGTTTGGCAAAGCATGGGACCTTAGGGTACTTTTCCACGGACACGAGGCTTCATCAAATTGCCTCGTTCTGCTCCGGAGCTGCTTCCGTGCCCCAATTCTAGCCTCGAACATCGGGTTCACACCCAGTCCTCATTGTATGCGCGTGTCCAGCATTGCATGCGTGCAAGATTGCGAAAAACATGGCCTGGGCAGACGGTAGGACCTCAAATATGTGAGCTATCGCGGCCGATGGGAGGGCGATTCGTTCCACCATCTTGCGATACACCGCAAACTTCTCAAATCTACCTCCCCTTCCCTCTTTTTCCTTCCCTCTAGCCTCCTCCCCTCCCTTCGTTCTTATCTTTCTTCGCAGACTTTCACGATGGGTGCCGACAACACTGAGATGCCCTTGAGCAGCCCCGTTGAGGCGTCCCCGCAAGAGCGGAATGCTCTGCCTCAATACGGGTTTGGAGCCGACGTTGGCTTCGAGCAGCTCATTGACAGCAACCCATTCCTCTTTCGAGTACACACACCGAAAGAGCCATCACCCTTCTACGACAACACCGAACCGTACTTCGTCGGTCAGGCATTCCAAGATAGCGTCGGTGCGTTGGCGTTCCGTCCCTCGACCGTTTCGCCTTATCAGGCCCCATCGACACATACATACGCCGACGTCTCGAAGCACATGGACTGGACGACCAAAGCATCATCGCCTTACGTCTCCACGTCGTTCAGTTTCGCCTGGGCGATCTGGGAAGCGACAAGGCGATATCATCATGGCATGAAGCATGGTGTGGAGATTGCGATCATAGACGCGAAGGCCTTGTCCGGCAAGGCTGTCACGGCAGTCGAGCTCTTGCATCAAGGTGCTCGCAAGGAGTACGTACTGACCCTTCATTCCTATATATCGTACCGAGTAATTGACACATCTATAGTCGGCACCCAGATCATTGGAAGTGGTGGCGATATGCGCATGAGGCTCAGGACGTTCTCGTCTGGGGTTACATTCCCGGTACGGCAGTCCTCGCATCGATCCCCCTCACGCAGATCCTCTCAAAGCTGCCGTCGTACTTCCTCAATCCCGATCCGTCCATCCTGAAGGACACCCCGATAAGCCGCGTGGGCTGGGAGTACGAGCGCAAGAAGTACTCTTATCGGATGTTCTGCCAGGATATGTCAGAGCGTTTCCTACGCATGCCGGCCGACCGCCGTGTCCGCGATACAACCGCTGGCGCCGTGCGCCTCGCGATCACCCTCCTCCGACCTTGGTTTCATCGCCTTGCGACGGACGACTTCACGACCGCCACCGCCGTCGCATGCGACTTCGCCCAGTGCATCGCGCGCTGGCCGGGACTGTGGTGGGTGCGTGAACACCCCGAGATCAAGGACCTGATCAGGTGTCTCGTCCACATCGTCGGCGAGGAGGCGCGCGAGGCTCGCCGGACGCAGGCGCTTGCGGACGCGACGCGCATGCAGGACATCGTCGGCGGCCTCGAGCAGCTCGCACGTACGTTCCACGAGCGCCCTGACACGCGCTCTGCGCGCTCGTCGTTCACCATGGCCTCTACGTCCTCCACCGCGTCTGTCGTCGATGAGGACGAGACGAAGGTGGACAGGGACTTAGCGTCTTTCGTGCTCAAGCCGATCCTCACGGAGGGGAAGTCCTCCTTCCAGGTCGTTCGGCCGCCCGTCTTCTCTCCTCCTGTCTCGTCGTCGAGCTCGAAGCTCGCGCCACCGCCAGAGAGCGTGGAACCCGCGGAGGAGGCGAAGGTTGACAACCCTGTCAGCGCGTCTGGGGAAAGTCAGACGGCGAAAGGGAAGAAGAAGGCCAACGATGGATCACACGTCGACAAGGTCACGTCCCCCATCTCCCCCATCGCGGACGTGGCGCGCAGATTCCTCGGCTCGACGCTGGGCTCTGCGACTGGAGCTCGCGCGGCTCAGAGCGACTTCTTCTCCAAGGAGTTCTACGCGCGGACCGCGTCGACGTTCCTCACGGGCTTCTTTCTCGGCACGTTCATCACCCTCTGCATGCTCTCCCCTCAGCGGAGGGAGATCGCGAACCACTTTACGTGAGCGGATGGATGCACGCTGGCTGGTCTTGTGCGCGTCTCTGCTTTGTTGAGTCGAGCGATCTTCGTTTCCTTTCATAGTTCTGTGCTCGCATTCTATCCCTTTCTTCCTTCTATATCTCATATCCCGTCATCTCGATTTTGGTCTCCTAACTTTGTCTCTTCTCATCCTCGCGTCTTGACGACCCTCGCGCTCCGTCTTCGGCTCCTTGTCATATTTGGATTGGGATTTTCGGCCTGTTTTCGACCCTCTCGGTATGTCATCGGAACTCGATCCATACATGAGACGAGATATCGGGCCATAACTTATTACCTTCGCGTTCGTTTTGATCCCCACCGTTGTTGTTGTAGCATTATTATCTCCGGAAGACACAGTCGCCCATGTACTATCACTTCTACATGCCTATGCCCCTATGCCATCGTATGCTCTTACGGATCTAAACCATCCACTGTATCAATCGAAGTCTTATACAATGTATGCGGGTCGCGGCGATGAAGTGATTAATGGCCGGGCGAGTACTAGTGTAGAGAGATTGCTGACGTTGTGGACTCTATAGCCTGTCCTGCCTATGCCCAACGCTTGAGGCACTGTCTTCTCCTTGCGACGTCGACACGGTGCCTCGGTATTACGCGGTCTGCCGTTTGCCTAATACCAAACTGCGAACATGGACGGCCGCAAGCTGCAACTGAAGATGTTCACGGTGATCGTCGATCTGGATCCTCGTCTTATGTATGTGAGCGGCTGTGGAACAGTCCATCGCCGAAGCATATTGATCATAGCTGCGGCAATTCCTGCGCATGCCTGTGTGCATGATGCTGCGCTGGAGACCGGAGACGACGGCGCACGCTGCGTCCACGTGAAAGAAGCGCTCGTCGGCAGTGATCCTGAATCCTAAGCGACACCCTTCTCTACTTACTGGGCACATCTTCTCCTTCTCAGTTGCTCGCCGTCGTGCACTGTCCGTACGGACCCCGGCAATCCTTCACAGAGACTCGTCAGCCTCTGATTTCTCAGTATATGCTATGCAGTATCTGGCCGCTGCGCCAATGGAAGCAACGCCGCAGGCCGCCAATTGGGAACCACGCCGCTAACGCACGACGGCAAATCACCCCGCTCGATGTAAGGGGTGATCTAGGGATTCCAGAATTCAAAACTGTCTCTGGACCTTAGATGGCGTGGTTGTCCGGCTATGTAGGCATCGTCCCTCGATGACTGAATGGTTACGCGCGCCGACACTGGCTCAGCCGGATATGCATATGCGTATATATGTTCCTCTCCGAGTCGAACTTGCAGCATTTGGTTTTGAATCATCGTTCCTTCTCTTCCCTTTCTCCCCTCTCGCGTGGCTCTCTTGTCCCGCGTGATTGTTTCTTGCCCGGAACCTTTTCAGATTCATACTATAATACCACTGCGAGGCACAACTTGCACTCTCAGACGGTTTTCAACAGTACCACGCTCAAATGACCGCTGCAGCTTGGAAGCATAATATCGCGGCCCTCCTTGCCGCCGGTGGGCTTACCATTGCTGTCTCGACAACTTCTGTCGGAGCTGTTTAAGGTAACATTGGCGACATCTTCTTCGGCAACTGTACGGACAACAGTACACTCCCTAGGGCTGAATGCGGATATGCCGTGTGGGTGTTCCAAGCTCATAACGTGAAGTACCATAGCTTTGCTCACCAATGGTGCTTCCAGAGTTCCTTTGGACTACACCAACAATAGTGTTGGTGTAGCCAAAATCGCGCTCGGCCGGTACAATGCAACAATAACCCCTCGCAAGGGCGCTGTCTTCGTCAACCCTGGAGGACCTGGTAATCCAGGCGTCGTACTTGCAACGGAATTAGGCTCAGGTCTCCAGGAGCTTATGAGTTCGTACTTTCCGCGGGCGTTGTCATAGTTCTCACATTTCTGTGTCCAGATTGGCGAGGACTACGACATCATTGGTTTTGACCCACGAGGAATTGGCTTGTCCGAGTACGTAGACCCTGACGACATCGTCGCACACTATGTCCTGAATATTCATGCTATGCAGGCCTCAGACCAAGTGCTTCATCGAGAACGGTTCACGCGAGGCGTTCAGCGCGAATACTGTTCTCGATCGCGGCTACGACGTTTCCCCAAACCTGACCGACTCGTACAACCGCTTCCACCTCATCGAGACCCAGCGGGATGCGAACGCGCTTGACCAAGCGCAGTTCGAGGTCTGCGCACAGACGATGGGCGAGACGATCAAGTATGCGGGCACGACGTCCGTCGTGCGCGATATCGACTTCATCACCACCCTGCTCGAGGGCAACGACTCACTGATCAGCTTGTACGGTTTCTCGTATGGGACAATCATGGGTCAGTACCTCATTAATATCTTCCCGGACCGGGTCGGGCGCGTCGTCATCGACGGGGTCGTCGACGTCAACTTGTGGGCGAACAAGGCGCCCTACCAGCAGCTGCACCAGTGGCTCAACTCGACGGACGCGACATACGAGGTCTTCATCGCGGAGTGCACCAAGGCGGGCCCCGCGTCGTGCGCGCTCGCGCAGAAGGACAACGAGGACCCGAAGGACATCTTGGACCGCGTCGAGCGCTGGATCGACGGTCTGTACAACGCACCCCTCGCGGTGCCCAACGCGGCGCGCCCCGGCATCCTCACGAACGGCCGCGCCCGCCTCTTCATCGAGGGCGGCCTGGAGAGCCCCACGGGCTGGCCGCAGATCGCCGCGGGGATCGGAGGCGATGCGGGGCGACGGCGCGGCGGTGCTAAACGTCGTGAACACGCGGGAGCTCGTCGACCTCGAGCGCTCGGCGGTGTCGTGCAACGACCAGCGGCCGTTCGCGCCGCCCAAGCCCGAGACGATCGTCGACGCGGGCCTGGAGGTGCTTAAGGATGTGTCAAGGTTCTTCTGGTTGGTGATCATCGCGGAGCCCGCTCGGGGTGCCAGTACTGGCCTGTGACGCCCCCGGAGAGGTACCTCGGGCCGTGGAACAAGACGCTGAGCAACCCGATTCTGATCATTTCGAACACTGTCAGTGACCCTGTACGCGCAACCATTAAGATAGGTAGATCTGACGGCTCCTCGACAAGCAGAACGATCCCATCACGCCTCTCGTCAACGGCGAGACCGCCCATGGGTACTTCCCCAACTCGTCTGCCTTGCTCGTCCAGAACGGTCCGGGGGTACGTCGTCTTCCTGACACCCATTTGTGCCGGGAGGCTCATTGTCATCTGCTCCAGCACACCTCTCGCGCGCTCAATTCGGCGTGCACGGTTTTCTCGACTCGTGCTTACTTTGCAGACGGCACGCTGCCTGCTGCAGGCACGGTCTGCGAGGTCGACGAGAGCCCCTTTCCGCCCCCATCGGATTCTACCTCCTCACATTCCTCTGCGACCGGCGTTGCAGCGGCCGTTGTGGACTCGAAGACGAGGGTTCTGGACTATATTCACCACATGAGCGCAAACAAGCTCCACAGGGCCTACGGCCCATCGTAAGACGCAAAATGAATGTGTTCCGAGCATGTGATGTTACGGTACTCGTACCACACGCAGTACACCATGGTTTGCAATCCTATCAATTTTGTGAATGGCCGGACGTTGGAAGGAAACCGTTCCTATCTATATATCGAACTAGCCGAGGAGTAAAGCTTCCCAGCCTTTGCAATTATACGGGTTCCAGTCCCTTCATCAATGCTACAAATGCGGGAAATGGCACGCAACACTACATCACAAAGAAGGACTGATGAAAGGCAAGCATGTGCGTACCAGAGGAAACAGCCACAACATCCAAGCTGAGCATGAATAACTGAGAGAATGGCCGGACGAGCTCCCAAGCCTCAGAATCTCGGTTGCGTCAGCACAGCCCAGCGCCCTCGCCTCCTCCGTCCACCTCCTCACCCACATCCGTGCCCGTTACACCTCCTCCATCGTGTGCTTCTGGATGACATGCTATGTCGTACGGGTTGGGTAAGCGAGGGACCGCGTCTTCGTAGTCCTCTAGAATGCCGACTCTCCCTTTCCCTTCAACCCCATTCCCAACCGGATGTCCTGCACGACTACTTCGCTGTCGGTACGTGATGGCGCTACTCCACTTCCTATTCTCTCTCGAGCTACATGGCCACCGCGATCACCGTGATAATGGACCTGACGTGTAGAAAGTAGTGTGACGGCGTTGCCCAGTCCAAGCCGAGCTTCAGGTTGATCGTCCTTTCCGCAAGGGTGAAGGTGACGGTTTTTATTCCTAGCGATTGCAAGAATGACGGCTGAGATGAATCGGACCAGATCACAGACCTTGATTCCTCGACCTCCTCGACCTCGTCAAGAGCGCGTCGCGACATCTTCACACAAGCCCTGATCCCCAACCGCCGACCATCTGGCGACAAGGTATGCCAGTACTCAATGGTGATCGTGTATTCGTCACAGAAAAGCGTGAGTAAGTGTGTTGTCGGGTGGTCTCCATCTGGATGTTGAGATTCGGCCGTGTACCCTTGGGCGCGTAGAGCGTCGCGCGTCGCCTTCGACGACAAGAGATTGATTGTCTCGTGGGGCTGACAGAGAGCGTCCTCTCGGTGTTGGTTAGTGCGCTCCGGGTGGGAGATGTAGATGGTCCTGATCTAAATGACATCGCGACAGCGCTCGATGGTTGTCGGTGACAGGGGGAAGAGGCGAGGCCCTTCAGTACCCTGGTTTGGCTCTGGTTCAATGCTCACCCATCCGTTGTACAAGTATTCCACCTCAGCATTGGAGGGAGGGATGCAACAGACGCGGCCGAGAAGAGCGCCAGGACGATCAATGTGTTCGCAGCCAAGGATTGCCAGGAACCATTGGGACAACGGAACGTCCAAGTGAGACTGCTCTAGCGTGTGCCCAGGAAGGCAATGCAGGAGCGGTACGACGGGCAGTTTCGTGCGTATGCCATGTGGAGTGAAGGTGTACTCCTGAGCCGGGAGTTTCTCAGAGAGCTTGAGCTGATTCGACACATCGTCGTGAGGGATGAGTTTGATCATTCCGGCGTCGCTGAAGTCGTTCAGGCCACAGTGAAAGAGAAATTGCGCCTCTTCGTCGTCTTCGAGCCAGCAGCTCAGCTCTCTGGCGTTCCTCAGCGAGTCTGCAAGGTCCTGGTCGCGCTCGAGATCCGCATAGACGCGGCCCCATGCAAAGACGCTCTGGTACGGGATGCGCCGCACAATCTCCTCTAGCAGCCGGCGGAAGGCGCGGTCTCCCTCGCCGTAGAGCGTAGGCATGTTGATGCTGAAGATTCCTAAGAGGGAATACGCTTTGTCCTCCTTCCGCGAGGTCTCCCGCTGCCCTGCCCACGATAGCCGTTGAGCCACGCTGAAGTCGCCGAGGGACTTGACACGCAGCAGAAGCGCGATGGGGATACCTGTGATCTCCTTAATGACATACCCCAGTGTGGCCTTCGTTCCAATGGCTATCCAATCCTGGGAGAGGAACTTCACCGCGGAAGGCGCGATGAGCTCCTGGAGCGTCCATCCACGCGTGAACCAGCGGCTCCGGCGAAAAGCGGATTGACCAGCACGGGGGTCCTCGCCGGCAGGGACGTCGGCAAGGTGGGCGAAGCACACCTTCGCACGGCCGTACCACTGATACATCGAGTTGATCGATTCGGACAACTCGGAGCTGCTCGTCTTGTCGATACAGCAAGAGTCAATCCACAGGTATCGATGCCCAGCCTCGCGTGCCACTTTGCAGGCCTCTCGGATCTTCCGCGAGAGCTTCGTATCACCCCAGATGGGATAATGACTGAGCACGAAGTTAGACGCGAAGTCGGGGAATGGGGAACTCGCACGTGAGTTAGATGAGGATGAGAGGCCAAGTGAGGGTAAGATGCGACGCGAGAACCAGAGGCTACGTGAGGGTATGAGACGAGGTGAAGGTGAGGGGCTCGATGAGGAGTACTCGGAATCGGAAGGGCCTCCATGGCGTGCCTGGATGATCTTCAATTCGTTGTACGTCTGCTCCCTCTCCCTCCAAGTGTGTGACAGAATGGCGAATTCCGTCCTCTCCGGATCCACCTCCACAAATTGTCCAGTCCATGTATCCAGGACGCGCATGGTGGTTCCGCAAGCTGAGAAAAGACTTTTTGTCAGTCGGTATAGGAAAACGAATACATCTTCACGCACCAGTAGATATAGCTTGGTGATTGCTAGGATAAGGGGAAGCAGTTGACGGAGGCACCCTGGAATGACGAAGACGGCTGAGCGTTGAAGACTCGCAGAATTTAGGGACGGAAAAGTCGCAGCGGCTGAAGACTCGCCATGTGGTGCAGCAAGTTTGAGCCCTTAAAACAGAACAGGGGGTGGGACGCACGCGTGCGAGTATCGTGAGATATCCGACCATATAAGAGACGAGCATAGTGCTTATAGATAGAAGCGGCACTGGACATCACTTCTATGTACACAGCTCACATGGGTGGTCCGTAGAAAGTCCTTCTCAGCTGGCATACGGTTGCACGATTAGAAGGAACTATTGCTGCTTCGCGAAGCAGCGTATTTACCTGCATTCATATGACCTGTGAATGGGGCACGGCCCGTCCAAGCTGGCCGATAGTCACCTCGTCCCACGAGTGTGATCAACATTCCGTCATCGAAAATGGGGCCAGAGACGTGAAAGATGCGCAATGCTCGTTCCAGGCATGGTTGCACCATAAGTGAAATCCGAATAGTTTCGCCCATGAGCTTGAAAGGACCGTTAGCTTGTGAGTATCCGACATGTGATGGCAGTAGGGCGGGTCGTCCATTGGAGGTGCTGGGAGATAGTCAGGTAGGAAAGTTCACACGAGAAAAATATAGATAGAGCAAGAGGTTTCAGTGAGACTGGAAGTAGCTCTACGTTACAGAGAGAGGTTGGTAGATGGGACGAACGCGCGATGTCCATGTTCAACTTGGTGACAGCTTGGGTCCGGCGCCAACCAATATCGGCAGAATCCGAACGCGCTGGCCGGTATCCGTGTAAGTGTCCCTGCAGCCTATCTCACAAACATCGATCTCGGCGCATTCTGCAAATCCCTCTCCGTATACCGTCCGATCTGGCAGTGAGCCCTCAAGTTGGTTACGACTCCCATGGGCCTTTTCGGGATCGTTCGCAGGAAGAGACCACCCAGAAAACTTGATCAGGTATGCTTCCGCATGCCTACTGCCTCTCGAAACCCAATTCCATACTTTCGGACGCCGCCCGCTATAGAAATCTGAGGAGATCTTGTGTTTCGTTGCGAGCGCCGTTTATGTCTGTTCCTCTGTCATCCTGGCCTCCTGTCCCACCGTCTGGCAGAATCCTGTCGGGTCTTAGAAACGGGCGCGACTCGAGTGGTCGGATCCGCTTCTCCACAGTACCTTCGTTCCGTGAACTGCACCCGACCAACGTATGCGGCCGCCGGGCCTCGCAGGGCACAGAACCTATGGAGTGACCTGTCTCGTGAACTCTCAGAGCGTGTCCGGGAGCCCGTGTCATTACCCATGGCCATGCTGCTTTCGGCGCGCTGGCTGCTAGTTTCAGAGGGATTCTTGCCAAGCCTGCTGTACCTCCAGCACGCGTGGGGAGTGGTCCTAGCCTTCGATCCCTTCTCCTTCCGCTCCAAGTGAGCTCATGTTTGAGGATGCGTGTCTCGCGCCGGTTTGGACGGTTCAAGCAACCCAAATCTACTTTACTCCCGTTCATGCAAAAGCAGGATCCACACTACGAGATGATCCTGTACAATAATATCCTTTTACGTACGAGCGTGTTAACCCGTCCATTCTGCGGTATGAGCAGGTGCGTCGTGTCTGTTATGTGGTTTTGCCTCTGAACTCTACTTGTAGCAATATCGTGTGGGTTCAGTCGCGGGTCCGTGCGCGGTGTCATGCCGGATTGTTACTCCATCTCTCGGTTGAATAGGCTATTTCGTACGGTGTGAATGCGTTGACCCAGGTATATAACATAGACCTCGGTTCCAATGTATCGGTGGCTCCACCGCGCCTCCCAGCCTTACACTTTACACTTTGTAATGAGATGTGACAATGCGAAGATCCATACGTCTCGCTTGCGCCTCGGCGCTATCGTCGATCGTCGCATGTGTATGTCCCGTCACCTGTAAAACCCCCTGCAGCTCCAACGTGCGTGCGGCATGGGTGTACGGGTTCATGGTCGAGGACGCTCAGGCGGTACGTGCCTCGCGTTAGGTCTTACAAGTGATCACCTTGTCTGACAGCACTCCTGTCTGCCTGCAGATCTAACCTATGAGACGATGTCCGAGTCATATTGAGCTACGTGTGTTGTGCACCGTCTCTTTTGCATCCGCGGAAACCCAACCGCTCTTACCGCTCTACATGGAACACGTTCTCGACGACCTCGACCCTGAAATCGATGCAGCGCATTTCGCCGCTGCCCTACGACCCATTCGCTACACTCCCTTTGAGTCCGCAAGTGGCCGAGCCCTATCATACACGGCGTGGCCTTGTCCGGTGGCCCGAACACCGACGCCGAGCAGAAAATTCTGTCCCTGTCAAGAGCTCGCTCATATTGCGGTTGCTTTGTGAGATGTCATATGCGAACCATGTGAGTGTACGTATGCGCGTGCTTGGGTAGTTGGACGGGTCCTGAAGCCGGGGTCTAGGGCATCGATTCCTGCCATTGACCTCGACGGTCAGTCGATAACGGGATCAGGCGTTTCGTACATGTCCACAAGCTCACAGTCATAAGCCAAGTGTGGACACGGCCGGAGTAGGGGCTTCGCTGGAGCCTGTAAGCTGTAAGGCTAGTGTGTGTACCGGACCATGTCGCGAGGACTGTGCGACAATCGAGCACCCTCGGACGGACCGGTACAGCGTGATGGTTCAATCTTGAGCACAGCGAAGAGCGTACTCCTGGACACAGTATGGCAAGGCTCGAGGACGTGAGACCGACTGCGGTACAGACGCGGAGAGCAGCCAAGACTGCCAAGCGCTGAGCGACAATCTATGATAGGCGCCGTACGCCGTCCCTCTGTGGCGCTCGTCCTTTGCACCTTGCCCTTGGTTACGCTTCAAGTTGAATGAGGAGTACAGGACGGTGGACGCTTGCTCGTGGGCTGTAGCTGCCCGTCGTGCGCGTGAGGAATGGAAGCCGTTCCCACGTGTAACAAGCGCTGGGTGTTGACTCCCTCAGGTTGGAGCTTGAAACTTGCAGCTTGAAGCCTTTCTCTCACTCTCACTCGTACTCTCCTGGTCATTCCCCTACTCGTCCCCGGTCCCCAAGAAGAGCCCAGTACAAAGGTCCCGCGAGTGATAGTGATGGCGCTGCCCCGCACCGCCCACACTTCTCAAGGCCTCCGTTTCATCGGTGTATGCTGTGCAGTGCTCAGCCTCCTCGCCGTCGGAAGCAACGCCACAGGCCAATGGGGTTTGCAAAGTCAAGGTGCGCATCACTCTACCCGACTTGAGGGATAGGCGAGCGTGATACAGAGGCCCCAAAAACAAATACACCTCTGGGTCTGAGAGCCTGACCCTACCATGATCACAGAAGGACTGCGTGCACTTGTATGGCTCGATCCGGCGGCCGTATATATGCGCGACCTCCTTCTCCCAATCGTAGTCACAACTGTGTCGCATCACTCCCTTCTCTTCTTTCTTTTCTCTCTCTCTTCGCTCTCCCGCGGCCTGCGAGTGGTCACGCGTGTTTGTTCTTTTTTGGCCAGACGTTTATTGGGTTGAATTGAACGTGCCTCTGAAGCAGAACTCGCAGTCGCAGACGATTCGGGACAATCTGTCGCCCAAATGACATTGGCAGAACAGGCAACTGCTACGGCTTGGAAACACAACGTCGCGGCCCTCTTCGCTGGCGGCGCGCTCGCCCTTGCTGGCTCGACAGCTTCCGTTGCTCCCGTTCAAGGGAGCGTTGGCGACCTCTTCTTCGGCAACTGTACGGACAACCGTGCCCTTCCTGGAGCCGAGTGCGGATATGCAATGTGGGCGTTCCAAGTGAACATGGCGGCATGTGACAGCTTCGCTAACAGCAGTGCTTCCAGAGTTCCCCTCGACTACACCAACAGTAGCGCTGGTGTAGCCAAGATCGCGCTCGGCCGGTACAATGCGACTGTGTCGCCTCGTAAGGGCGTCGTCTTCGTCAATCCCGGAGGTCCAGGCGGTCCAGGTGTGAACCTCGCGACGGAAGCGGGCTCGTTCTTCCAGGAGCTTGTGAGCGCTGGCCGCAGCATCTCGTCTGCATCCCACAATGCTCACAAGTACGCGCATACAGATTGGCGAGGACTACGACATCATTGGCTTCGACCCACGCGGAATTGGCTTGTCCGAGTAGGTCGACCCTCACGATGTCGTCGCGCACTGTCTGAATATACATGCCATACAGGCCTCAGACCAAGTGCTTCCCCAAGAACGGTTCACGCGAGGCGTTCATCACGAACACTGTCCTCGACCGCGGATACGACGTTTCGCCAAACCTGACCGACCCGTACAACCGTTTCCACCTCATCGAGACCCAGCGGGATGCGAACGCGCTCTACCAAGCCCAGTTCCAAGTCTGCGCACAGACGATGGGCGAGACGATCAAGTACGCGGGCACGACGTCCGTCGTGCGCGACATCGACTTCATCACCACCCTGCTCGAGGGCACCGACTCGCTGATCAACTTCTACGGCTTCTCGTACGGGACGGTCATGGGCCAGTACCTCGTCAACGTGTTCCCGGACCGCGTCGGGCGCGTCGTCATCGACGGAGTCGTCGACGCCGACTCGTGGGCGAACAAGGCGCCCTACCAGCAGCTGCACCAGTGGCTCAACTCGACGGACGCGACGTACGAGGTCTTCATCGCGGAGTGCGCCAAGGCGGGCCCCGCGTCGTGCGCGCTCGCGCAGAAGGACAACGAGGACCCGAAGGACATCTTGGACCGCGTCGAGCGCTGGATCGACGGCCTGTACGACGCGCCCCTCGCGGTGCCCAACGCGACCCTCCCCGGCATCCTCACGAACGGCCGCGCGCACCTCTTCATCGAGGGCGGCCTGGAGAGCCCCACGGGCTGGCCGCAGATCGCCGCGGGGCTCGCGGAGGCAATGCGGGGCGACGGCGCGGTGGTGCTGAACGTCGTGAACACGCGGGAGCTCGTCGACCTCGAGCGCTCGGCGGTGTCGTGCAACGACCAGCGGCCGTTCGCGCCGCCCAAGCCCGAGACGATCGTCGACGCGGGCCTGGAGGTGCTTAAGCACGTGTCGAGGTTCTTCTGGTCGGTGATCATCGCGGAGCCCGACTCGGGGTGCCAGTACTGGCCGGTGACGCCCCCGGAGAGGTACCTCGGGCCGTGGAACAAGACGCTGAACAACCCGATTCTGATCATCTCGAACACGGTGAGCTCGTCTGGGATCTGGGTCGTGGACAACATATCCGGGCGCGGGACTGACGGTGTTGTCGATTCGTGCAGCACGACCCCGCGACGCCCCTCGTCAACGGCGAGGCGGTCCACGGGTACCTCCCCAACTCGTCCGCCTTGCTCGTCCAGAACGGGCCCGGGGTGAGTACTGGTCGTCGCCTCCTGACGTCCGCACGTCGCCGAACTCGGAAGACTGACGGACTCGCCTCTTCTAGCATACCTCGAACGCGCTCACTTCGAGGTGCACCATCAGTTTGACGCGCGCGTACTTCGCGAACGGCACCCTCCCTGCTGCGGGCACTGTCTGCGAGGTCGACCAGAGTCCCTTCCCGCCCCCGTCGGACTCCACCGCGCCGGCGACTGCTGCCGCGAGCGCGAAGATGAGGGTATTGGACCACATCCACCGCATGAGCCCGAACAGGCTCCGCATGGCCAGTGGCCGCTCGTGATGCGCGAGCTGAGAGCGGTGCGGAACGGCCACGAGGAAAGACGGCGATCATACCCCATACGCACGGCGCACGGCGCACGGCGCATCATAGCCTTGATATCCTTGTTCATGGCGGAGCGCTGCGAGGACGTTTGGACTTTTCTTGGGCATCAGCATAATTGTACATAGCACGTTCCAGCGTGCCGCCCCTTCCGGACGTAATTGTGTTTTTATGGCTGAGACGAGTCAGGGGCGAACTTGGAGCGCAGTGAGCTGGAGGCAACTCCTCTCGTAGTCGCGGCGGCCACGCTGCTGGGCGTGTGATACCACCTGAGAGTCTCGACTGTCCGGGACGACGTGAATCGACACCTTGCAAATGAGCAACCTCGACAGTCCACGTCTGTGATAGACAGGGAGTATTAGTCGAACGTCCCTTCGCGTCACCTCCGAGTCGCTCAACAGATCCAAGTACACTCTCAGAGTTGCATTGTAATAGGTATAATACGGAAACCTACCGCAGTAAAGCAGTACACATTTCGCTCGTAATAATTTACCAATAAGAGAAGAAAATGGTTGGTAATGGGATCATACACGATGTTGTTGCAACCAAGCTACACTACTTGTGGGCACGGTCTGGATCCGAGACTCGATATCGAACGATACTCCAGGTGAGAGGCTGGTTGGCTGCCCACCGAAACGCCTACTCAACTTCACAGTACCACACCGCTCGCTCTACTTTCCACCATGCAGCTCTTCCATCTCCTAGCGCGTCACAAATCGAGCCTCATACCTGGGTGTCCGCCGCGGGGTCATACATCATCACCTCCGCCATCTGTTCCCGGCCGCCCCTCGCAATCAGCCCCAGCTCGACCTTGATGCTGTCCCGCGCCATCGACTGCTCGCGCGCAGATGCAGAAACTGAGCGCACCGGCGCGTGGCCCACGCTTTTCATCCTGACGAGCTTGCCCCGGTCCGTGCCCCTGCGCACGAGCGACGCCGAGCGCACGATCGGGACCTCCTGCAGTCCCGCGTCGTCGCTGTCCTCCTCGTCGACCGAGGTCGCGGTCACGGGCACGTCCGCGACGTGCGGCGTGGAGTGCAGGCGGCCGTGCGCGAGGGTCCGCGAGGGGACGTACTGCGGGGGAGACATGGGCGTAGGGAGGGAGGCAACGGCGGCCTCCTCGTCGACGACCTGCTCAATCTCGACGTTTGAGATGCGCGAGTCCTTCAGCCCCGAGGTTATGAGGGGGGCAGGTGGAGACTTGCGCCTGGGGGATGGTGTCTGGGACACGACTACGGGTGAAGGCGCGGAGGACTGAGCGTCGGCCGCCGCCGGGGGCATCGGCATCGGCTCGTCGGCGTCGACGACAAAATCGTCACGGGAGACCTCCTGCGAGAGCATCGAGCGCCGCGCGGGCTGGCTGAAGTGGCGTGAGGGGATGCCCGGGAACTGCATCGTGAGCGCGTGAACCTCGGATGCGGTCGTACTTGACGAAAGACCCTTGTCGCGGCGGTCGGATTTGAGCATCGCGAACGGCACGCGTGGCGCTAATGAGTTGGGGCTCACGAAGCTCGAGATCGAGTCAGTCGGGGACCCGATGGCGGTGAATGACATCCCCGTGCCGGGCTGCGCATCGCTGTAGGACCAGCTCGCCGTGCTCATCCGAGGATTGTAGTCCGTCGACGCGTAGCTGAGACGCGGGTCAAAGCTCGGCATATTGCTCTCGCTGTTTACGGAGGCGCCGCGCCAGAGACGGTTGTAGCTATCGAGGCTCGAGGCACGAGAGTGGCGTGACGCAAGGGACCCACGTATGGAGGCATCACGAGCAACGGCAGGAGGGGCCGCGGGAGCCGGGGCACCAACGTATGGCGGAAGACGAGTGAACGAGGCGGAGGTGCGGCCAGCAGGGTGATCCGGGGCCGGCTCGAAGTCGTTGGGGAGCGAGCGGGCGCGGACGTGGGGATCGCGGAAAGGGTCTTGGATGAGGTCGAGGAACTCTAGGTTGGAGAAGCGACGGAGCTCGAGCACCGGGAGACGGTCCTGCCGGATGTGTACGGTCACCCGTTGGCGCACAGGGCGCGCAGGGAGACCGACACGGGGAACAGGAGCAGGGAAGGTGGAGACATCCACCTGCCTGGTGTCTTCCTGAACGTCGGCATATTCGTCGATGGGGTTCTTGCCATCCGAGTACGAGCTGCGTGCGGATGAACCAAAGGACACAGCGGAGTCCCGGACGCTATCGCTCCTGCGGCTGAGTGTGGGGCGGGCCGCGAGCTGGAACGTGAGGCTGCTCGTCTTGTGAGTCCTCGAGAGCAGACCGGGCGTCGCGCGCTCCTCCTCGATCGCAGCAGGCCTGCCAAAGTCGCGGCGCATCCACGACGGATCCCCGAGCTTGATCACAGACTGGCGCTTCTCGTCGAACGGATTCTTTTCGCTGAAGTCGTGGCCGCCGACATGGCGGAACGTCGAGAAGCGCGGGTTCTGGATCATCGCGCGGAGCATTGACTTGCGGCGCTTCTGCGCCTGGCCGGGGCTGTAGAGCTGGAAGTCCTCGACAGTATCGACGCCCTTTATGATGCCGATGATAAGGCATCCGTGCGCGAGCAGGCGGAGGAGTCGGCGCGTGAACACGACGCCGAACCCGCCCTGCGCGAAGCCGATGACGGTCTCGACGGCGCCGAGCTTAAGGCCTGCGACTATCCAGCCGAGACCACGGAAAAGGTGGGTCTCCATCTCCTTCTCTTGCTGAGACGAGTCAAGTGTGCGCTGGTGTGAGAGCGCCCTGATGAGGCGGTAGAACGCGATGCAAAAGTTTGATGCCTGAAACGCGACGAAGAGGACGAGCGTGACGCTGCTGAGGAACATCTCCGGCGTGGGGTCGGTGAATCCAACACCGAGCTGAACGGGCCCGCCATTGGTGCCAGGGAACTGGCCTGAAAAGTGGGGATCTTCGTTATGATTCACTTGGAGGTATAAGTCGCCGGATAGACTTACGATAGGTAATCCCGATAAAGGAACCGAGTTCGTTCAGCACAATGACGAGGGGAATGAAAGCCAGGAGCACGTATTTGGTAATGCTCTGGAAGCGGATAGGTAGAGACGGGATAAGTTCGGCCGTCGTTAGTAGATAGATGGAGAACATGTAGAGGAAGAGCGGGATAAAGGATGCAGCACCTAGGAAAGATTGGCTCAATGTCGAACAAAGTCGGAGCTGAGGGCACTCACCGATGATGATATCGAGCGACCTGAAAGAGTCGAGGGACGTTCCAATGGTAGGGAGGGTGTGGGTGAACACGTCTAGGACCGCTAGGAGGAAGTAGATGAAGACCTCCGCAGCGATGAAGACATGTTTCCTGTAGGGGTCCAAGCTTCAATATCACATACCACATGGCACTAACACGTATATCCTCCGTATGGGAGGCGGAACAGAGTATGCATTGTAGATCTCTCGCGCACTCCGTCCTAGCTGGGGGATCCTCCGAGGCTTCAAAGCTTCAACTTGGACCATCACATGGAAGCCCTTCACATCGACCCTCCCGTACCGCCACATTACTCTCGTTCTGCCTATTCTTCCCTTCTCCACACCTTAATGAACGCGTCCTCCGATCCCTACCACCCGGCTCCCGCCCTCATACACGTCCCAGATGCAGCCAAAGACTCACTTGTCAGCGCCACGCTTGGCCCATAACAACACGACGGCGAAGATGATCTCGAGACCAGGGGGAACAAGAAGAATACCAGCCTCCGTGCGAGTGAGGGATTGACAACGCAAGTTAGGAGCGACCGAGAGGCAGATTTCGCCCATTTAACCAGAATGTCTGTGGCGAGTGTTCCTAGAGCGCAAATGGCATGTCACACAATACACCGGGCCAGCAGGAGGGAGGCGCGGCGACAGCGTCAGGCCAGGAAAGAAAAGAACGGAATGCAGACTGGCTGCGAGGAAAAGGGCGAGGCCTGCACCGGGAGAGAAGAGAAACGAGCGATGGTCGTAGAGCGTAAAGGTGTCCACCCAGGGAAGGGTGATATCAGTAGACCGCAGGAGCGAGGCCAATATCGAGCGGTGGCTCGCCCGCTTGATGGGGAACACACGGTGGCACGACGATGGCAACAAGTCCCAGGCTGTGCCTACCGATGGCGACGCCCAGGTCCCTGTCGTCCTGGTAATTACAGCGCTTCCCTTTTATGGAGGTCGAGTCGGCAGTCCCTTATGGGCCTGGCCGTCCGCATTCTTCTATTGAGAAAGCTTGTCGTCTTCGTCATGGCTGCGAATGCTGTATGCGCAGGAATGAGTGCAGTTGCATGGCAGGTTCAGCTTATCAGAATGGAGGAGATTGCGGGGCGTCAGTGGGAAGTTGATCCCGTCAAGCCGCGAGGAGCGACGGATCACAGTAGAACTTGAACGTTTGAACCATTAAACGCATGTCCTTGTATCTCCACTGACGTCTTGGCGGAAGTGATTGACTTCAGACTGATCTCATGCTTGTCCTAAGCCTGAGTAACGGAAGATCTCGTGCATAGTGGGGTCTGGGACATTCGTCTGCGTACAAATAGGAGACTGATTCGGAATCACAGCATACACTCACAGTCAGTACCCCTTGCAACTTCTGCTGTCGCGCGGCTCCGGATCCTGGAGGCGAGATCACAACAGCTCGGTGCGTGATGCACGCCGGCGGAAGTAATTGAATTTGAGGCACCTTCCGTAGACGGATTGATGTAGTCTTATGCTCGTTTAGCAGGAGATGAGACATGCATAACCAGGCATTGGAACATATTGAGTCAAGTATCGGGAGACGGAGGAGGACAAGAGACAACAACAAGTCATGAGCACATTCGGCGGCGAGGTTACGTCACTTAGACGCCGGGTGTCTTTGCTGTCGATGGGCCACGCAACGTTCCCAATGAATCTCGACCTCCACTCTCACCGCACCCAGCTCGTTCTCACTGCGCTCGGTGCCGCAGTTGTCACAGCAGGGACTTTCTCAGGATACCAGCAATATGTCAGGCAGAAGAAACGCAGGAGTCTCGACGAGGAAATACGACGTTCGCTGAAGACGAACGCGAAGGGAAAGCAGAAGGATTTGCCAGACGAGGATGACCATCATCGAGAGATCGAGCTCGGAGGCGCAAGCACCAAACATGCAGTGCCCTTGGAGTACGACGAAGAGCTGGTTCGGGAACAGCTCGCGCGTAACTACGCGTTCTTTGGCGACGAGGGTATGGAGCGCATCCGGAAAAGCACCGTCGTCATCGTAGGCTGTGGAGGAGTTGGGAGCTGGGCAGCTGTGATGTTAGCCCGATCGTAAGTTATTTTCTTCTGCGGTCGTACTCCCATACCGACCTATTCTGCTTAGTGGTGTGAAGAAGCTCCGTCTCGTCGACTTCGACCAAGTAACGTTGTCGTCACTGAACCGCCATGCGACCGCGGTCCTCTCCGACGTAGGCACACCGAAGGTCAAGTGCATCGAGCGCACTCTCAAACAGATCTCGCGCATCATAGAAATCGACGCGCGCATCGACATCTGGCGAAAGGAGTCGGGCGGTGACCTCCTGGAAGGCGCAGATTGGGTTGTAGGTGCGTTGTGTAGTTCATGCTTTGGGCGTCGCGCGCTGAACGCGTGCATGCAGATGCAATAGACAACATTACCACAAAAGTAGAACTGCTTAAATACTGCCATGCGAACAATATCAAGGTGAACACCTTGACCTCCTAGTATGCGGCTACGTTGAACCGCTCATTGCTTGTGCAGGTGTTCTCTTCTATGGGCTCGGGAGCGAAATGCGATCCAACGCGTGTCCAAATCAGCGACATCTCATTCACGATGTATGATCCACTGGCGCGCTCCGTCCGCCGCCGTCTCCGCCTCGAGGGTGTGTCTTGCGGCATTCCCGTCGTGTATTCCACCGAAGTCCCGGGAGATGTCAAGCTTCTCCCGCTTCCCGAAGAGGAGTTCCAGAAGGGCAATGTGAAGGAGCTCGGCGTCTTTGACGACTTCCGCGTGCGCATCCTGCCCGTGCTCGGTGCGCAACCCACCACGCAAACGTCCTTGAAATGAGCTGATGCGGCTGCGATGTAGGACCCTTGCCGGCGATCTTCGGTCTGAACATCGCCACCTACATCCTCTGCGAGCTCTCCGGCAAGCCGATCCCGAACCCGCTCCCGGTCAAAGCCCGCAAGAAGTTCAACGAACGCCTCTCGCGCGACCTCCAGAAGCGCGAGGAGAAGTTCCTCGGACACCAGATCAAGTACGTATCGCACGTTGCGTCCGTTGCACTTGGCGTGGTGATGACCTTGTCCGACGGCTCACTCAATCACAGTAAACTACCGCTGGACGACGACGACCTTGGCCTCCTCTTCGACGACATCCATCGCGGCCGCTCCATCCGCCCCCCACACCCCGTCCCCGAACGTCCCGCGCTCGTCCGCTGGGACCCGGCGGAGCCGCTCTCGCTTGCGAACTGCGTCGCGTTCGAGTTCGCGGACGCCGAGCGGCACCTGAAGGAGGCCCTGCTCGAGAAGAGGCGGCCCGAGGACGTGTGGGGCCCGGAGGTCGCGGACATCGTGGCGCGGAGGAGAGAGGAAGTGCGCAGGGTCGTCGAGTGGGTGATGTGAACCTGGTCTTTAGTTGTGGGACGTGACCATCTGCAGAGGGTGGAGCACTCATCTCAGATGTACGATCCAAATCGACTTCTGACTGGCGGCGTCATGATCAGGATGGATGAGTGCATGTCCGACGACCATGACTTTTCCTATCTTCTGGGCACACTTGAAGCTACCAGTAATGTGTTGAGAATGCGGTGTCGTCTAGATTCATGTTGACGGCGGACGCATGGCCTTCATATGAGCTGGGCGCGGACGGCGGCCCATGACTCTTGCAAGCGATGCTTAGGGCTTCCATAGGTGTGAATAGTATTCGGTGGCTGGATGACATCTGCGCAGATCAGTCGAGCTGTCCTCATCGCCTATGGTTGGAGAACGAAGCCTTGTATTGTACTGGTGATCAGCGTATATACCTTCAGACCATTGACCCTATAAGGCTCAGCTTAGTTTCAAGCTTCTTCAGGCAGACGCGACGCGGAGTCTCAAGGCAGAAGGCGACTTCATCCACAGGCATCGAACGCTTCCTCCACCATTCCTCCCTTCCGATGTTGTGAGTGCTCATGTAGAGAGCATCACGGCAGTGCAAGCTCTCACATTGCGTGCTTCCTCGCAGCATCCTGACAGCACTTAGCAAAGATGTTTACAGTGCGTGGATGTAGGACATCCTCAGCTGCTCATAATAGACTCTGTTCAGCAATGCTGGATCCGAACACGATGCGAAGGTTGCACGGGTTGCAGCGACATATCGAGAGCGGGCTTCATGGGTGTCGAAAACTACTAGCTGAGAGGGCGACCCTTGACACTGCGGTCATTGCAGAACGGTCGCAGGTGTCGACAAGACTAGGGGTAGCGAAGATGGGCGACTCAAGATCTTGTAGGTCTTGTTAGCCTGGGCATGGTAGACTGGACGGGGTGATGGAGGAGTGGTCTGCGCGCATCTGCTTCAAGTTGATCGCAGGTGGGGGCAGCGTACCGTGCACGACAGAAATGTTCGCCCCAGCCTTTCCAGATTTCCAGCGCCGTGTCCTACCCCGCCGCCTCTACTTCTGAGCACTGCGAAGATGCATGAAAGCTCAGGGCCGCCCAGGAGTCGTGTTTGGGAGGTGGCGCATTCGAGTCGAGCTTCTCGAATGCGGCGACGATGCCGTCTTGTAGTGGGCAGGGCGGGGTCGTCAGCGTGGACGTGTAGAAGGGATGCGCATGGGCACTGGTGACTGCATGAGAGAAAGAGCCACTCCTCCAACCCTAACCCTAACCCCTAAATTATGACATCCCTTTCTCATCCACTCATTTGTCCACCATGTCCACTTCTCCACCCGAACTCTCAATTTTCTTCGGTAACGAAGCTGAACTTCGGATCCATGAGGTTCCCTCTTCTAGCGTTATCAGGCAATTGGCAGCTGTGGATGCCACAATCTATCTATCTCTTACTTGCGTTCATCGTCAACGTCCTCTACTCGCTGCGTACTAATGCCCTTCTAGCTTCCTCCCGGGATAGTTAAAAATGTCACGGAATTAGGCCACAGCGATATAAGGGGTGCTGTGACTACAAGTCAATACAATCCATAACCACGCCACCTGTTGACGCGCCGTAATCACGACACGTGGTTGGCATAGATGCGAGACAATCCTCATCTCGTCACTATGTCCAGTGAGCCTGTCTGTGCGATGTTGTACGCTCCATGACTCAGCTTATAGATCAACGTGTCGTCAACGTTTTTGAGGTGCAAACACGCCAGTATCGATCCACAGAAGTCGTTTTGGGCGGCGACCTTTTCCGGTTGGTTCCCAAAGGGAAATCTCGTGATTATACAATATATTTGGTACGGTCGCTGTCTGCTGCGTTGTTCGTATTCCTCACGTTCCTCCAGGTCCCGGAAGGGATTCTATACAAACCGGAGACGGTGGCAACCGTCGTTGACACCCTCGACATAGAACAACTTCCATCTGTTCGCCCTACGACGCGTTTGGGAAAGCTTCGTCCGTGGGGGTTCGGTTGCGACCAGCTGCACTTTGTGTTGGTTCATTCTCCTCGTACCTTGCCTGCTACTTGTTCAGAATATCCGAATAATGAGTTGTCTTACAGAAGAACGACCTGCAGACGACACCCTGGCACCCCTCCCTTTCGGAAGGCAACGTAAGATGGGTTTCGAAGCACATTCTGCGAAGGTGCCGTCGTCAGAGGCCCGACCCTCCGAGTTCCGCAATATGCAGGAGAGTCACCAGCCCATATACTGTGGTCGCCCCAATCATATCACCACACCACCGTCTCTGTTGGATGCAAGCAACGCTTTGCGAGCTTATGCACAACAAGAGCTCCCTCGTGCCAACTGCTCGGGACACTCAGTGCTTTGAGACCCTCCGCGCCGCTGCCTGCGGGAACTTCGAGGACGAAGCCGGCCGACAGATTGCATTCACGGAGGTCCTGATAGAAGGAGGCATCCTGCCCGAAGGGGTGAGACCTGGATTCGTAATATCCACCGATTATCATGACGACGGCGACCTTCGCGCGATGTGCCTGGGTCACGAGGTATTCTACTATATCCAGGTGATCAAGAACGAGGTTTGCGCTACTAAATCGGAACCATACTTCGAGACCATTTGCTGCTGGTTGGAACAGATTCGTTATATCATGAGTACGTCTGAACTCGATGTTGACGACAACGGAGACAAGGACGACCGCGCAGGCAAGGTTCGCGATCTAGACAAGGTCAATTTCCCCGTCGTTCTCGTCATGCACTTCGGTATGATGTCCTTGCTTTTCACCCTCTGTCATGGTCTCGAGTGTCTGAGTTCAGTTTGTCAGGGCCGTTCCTCGTCGTCGCTGCTGCCGTCTATGGAAGTGAACCCAGTGCCGAAGTCGTGGGATGCATCCCCCTCCATGTGCACGATACCAACCTCGCCGAGCTCGAGGCCGGAGACCGTCTTTTTGCCGCTCTACGCGTCGCCGTTGATTCACTCCGCGAACGGTACCCAGACATAGCGAACAGCCGTCGCTCGCTCGCTAATTTCCCCTTCCGTGAGTTTGACATCGACGACCATGGCGTCCGCTATGAATTCACGTATCTCACCGCTATCGACAAGAAGAGGGTTTTCCGAGTAGAGACCCTTGATACCGAGACGTCGAGGCTGATCGTCAATTTCAGCAGGCGGTATTCAAAGGCCGCCCCCCGCGCCGCGCACGCCCTCGGCCTCGCGCCCGCGCTGCACGCCGTCAATAAGGTCAACGACTGGTACATGATCGTGATGGAGGACATGCCCGCAAGCTACACCACTATGTGGGACCTGAAGCGGGAGTCCTCCTCTGCTGCCATGTCGCTGGAGGACGCTCGGGACACGATCAAAACGAAGCTGGCTGAGCTACACCGTCGCGGGTTCGTCCACGGCGACGTGGGCGACATCAACGTGCTCGTCCGCGATAAGAGCACTGCAGCAATCGCCCGAGATGTCTTGCTCGTCGATTGGGACTGGGCGGGGGTCAAGGCGGAGGCGAGGTACCCTCGCGACGTGAACCAGGAAATTGCGCGTCCCAAAGGTGCTACGAGCGGGGAGTTGATTACGGAGGAGCACGATATGTGGATGGCCGGCCGTCTGATTCAACGGGTGTAGAAGACAGTGTGCCAGCGCCTGCACCTGCACCTGCACCTGTGACTCCCATTACAGCCTTGGAGGCCTTCGGCCTCGACTTAAACGAGCGTCCGGACAGTCCGAGCATACGGATGATGTATGCGGAGCTGCAAGCGCTGCAGAAGCAGGTTGCGAGGCTGAAGGAAGGGGGTCCCTTTGGGGAGGCGCCGCCTGACTACGCGGAATCTGTGATAGGGTCTATATATGGTTAGCCAGGATGTGAGGTTGGACACTATGTGCGTAGACAGATATGCGTCTCGCTACAATGTACATACTATATAGCTTGTGTAGACTTCGACACGGACGACCTTATTGAGTTGTTATCGTCTTATTTATTGGCTCGAACCGTGACGATTCTACAAAGTTTCATTGGTGATGCTATACTGCACGAGCACAACTTGTGATGCATCTGGGTTTCGGCACGACTCGTGTTCACTCCGACCGTCGGAAC